TTAGCTTTCTTGACTGCGTATCCTACCTTAATTTAAATTAAGTCATTTATAGATAAATCCTTGATAAAGGTTGGATGGGATGGGGAGTCTATTACAAACCCTTTGCCAGCTTCAACACACGAAAAACTATAAAGCATCCTTTTTGAGTTGTTGTACGTATAAAAATATACATACAAAATCTCAGTTTAGTGATTTTTTAAAAATATTCAAATAAGGAAAGTATATTTTTATGTAGTGCAAATTTTTGTAAATGTGTACAAAAAGTACTTTTTTATAATTAGGGCAACAATGATGCTCATGTGACCTGATCTGATTTTTCTTTTTATCTGGTTGTACTTAGGTAATAAAACATAGGATAAAAAAAACCTGTATTGATATGGTTAGCTGTAGTTCTATGCAATGGAATTAATAAAGTGGCTAAATGCACTGCAGCATTCTAAGACAGTGGGGTTTTTTGTTTATTTTGTAGCCCCATCTTTACTCAATGGCAATTTTAATTAATCTCTTCTGACATCTCTTTATGTGCATCTACCCACCAGGTGCCAATGTGCAGAAAGGAAAGCATTTACAAACTCCACTCCATGCTGCTGCCCAGCATTCTAGTACAGAGATCGTAAACTTACTCCTTGAATTTGGGGCAGACATAAATGCCAAAAATTCAGATTTTGAGAGGCCTGTTGATTTAGCTGCTCCTAGCAGTTTAGTGGAGAGACTGCTGCTCTTTCATGAAGGTAAGTTTTATGTGTATGTTTTTGCAACTGTAACTTGTATTATTAAAAAAAAACCTAAACCCACCCAAAAAAACCCCAACTCAACAACCTAAACAACCCATGTTATAGATGTTACATTGTGCTTTATTAAATGAATATATTAGCATTCAGGTAATTTCCTTTTTAACTATAAAAATACTCAGGAATATTTTGTCTCAGGCTCAATAGAGCCCATTGACCAAGCAGCATCAAAATTTATACAAGCTGAAAAACTATAATCTTACGTTTTTTGGGTGTTTACACAAGTCAACATTTAAAGCTACATTTTTATTGGCCGTTACAGACCTTGTTAAAAAGAAACTGAGTATTTAAATTTCAGATTAAAAATATATTTCATTTTGGTCAGCTGTCACAATATCTTTAAAAATATATTTTTAAGTGTATATAAATGACTTTATTTTTATTGTGGGCAAAAAGTATAAAAAATTTCATTTTCTAAATTTTCTTTATGAAATTATAAGAACCTGAGAAATAGGAGTCGACACTCAAGAGTCCCTCAAAACTCTTAAAGGTCTGTTGCCTTGGAGAGAGAATATTCCTAAGGGAACTGGATTTGTTCAGACTGACCTATGTATAATGTAAAAATAAGCTACAAGAGAAAGAAACTATTTCAATAACTGTGGGCATCTCTTTAGAGGTGAACTCAAGGAAACAACTCTGTAGTCTGAATGCTATTAATAAAATCCCTCTAAAACCTGTAGGTTTTCACAGATTTACCAAGACTAAAGTATTTTTGAAAGTCACAGCAAAGATGTCAAAAAAAATTACTTGGCAAGAAACAAATATGGGTTTATTGTCCAGAGAAAACTGCAATGTTCATTTTGAGGTAGTTGGAGGGCGGAGGCATAGAGGCATTATGATGAGCTAGTAAGATCACCGAACATGAACCAGGGGCTTGGGGTATTTTCGCTGCTTATTCTTGATGCAGTGATGCATCAGTAGTGCAGCTTGTAGTGCTGTAGCAGGTACGTCATCTGTTCTGTGAATTTAAAAAAAAAAACAGCAACCTTGCAGTTTTTAAAGTTATTTTCTGGGAGCAGGTTTTTAATTTAAAATTAAAACCACTGACCTTACCTTGCTTTTTTCAGTATTTCCCTAACTATGAACAAGGTTTTAGCAGCCCCAGCCTTTATCTTTGAGGGTAGAAAGGCAATGAAGGAAAAGAAATGAAGAAAAAGGCCAAATTTGCAAAATGTGAAATTTTTTTTAAAGAAATCCCATTATTGTGCAAGACTGCTGTAAAACAAAGTCCTGGCTTTTATTGTTGTGCAATTAAACTCCTTCCTTTATTGTTTGCAGCCACACCATCCTCTCTGTGTCAGCTCTGCCGACTACGTATCCGAAATTACATAGGAAGAGCTAGACTGCATCTTGTTCCACAACTCCAGTTGCCAACAATACTGAAGAATTTCTTACAGTACAGATAATATAGTAATTAAGTGTTAGAAACTTAAATAGCAAGTACTTTTTCTTCTCTCTGTTTATTGTACATTTTATCTAAAGAACTGCTGGGCGGAAAAAGAGCCTTTTGCATATTGCTTAAAAAAATTGTATCTTTGACATCTGGTTTTGGTAATGTAATAGTAACTGGGAGCCATTCAGCAACTAGTACCATGGTGCTAATAAAGCTGAATTGAATAAGTGTGCTGATACTCTGGGATGTGATTATATAGCTTTACCCTAATACTCAATAGCTTTAGTGCTGTTAATTTTGTGTTTATATTTTTAAAATCTCTTTGACACACCTGAACCACAAAGAGTTTCTTCATTATTATGTGTTAAGTTTGTCCATTTGGAGTCAGTATTGTATGTGTTTTTAAATTTCTATTGTTCATGTATCTAAAAAGACTTGGTGATAGGTGCACTATATACATTGATAAAAATAAAACGATTGGATGTCATTTTTTTTCTTTTTCTTTATATAGACGATTAATTAATGAAAAACTTCCTTTATTCTTCCTCACTGCCTGTGCTGTGGAAATGGAATTAAGCTGCTGTGAACATGATCTCTGTTTTTTATAGAATCTCTGTTTATTGATACAATTCATAGCTTTAAAAATTCCAGAGGAATATTTCTCAAAAGCCTTAATGCTGAGGTACTTTTGATCTCCTCTTGTAAAACAAAATCATATGGGCTCTTTCCTTATCTTTTCATAACAATGCTGTATCACAGCTCATTCCCATATTAAATAATTATTTGCCTCAGGGAAAGGCATACTTTAACGTGCAGTATTTCTGTGAGGTTTCTGAAGGCATATTGTGGAGATGTGGATAATGAATCTTCAAGCTAAAGTTCAGGAGGTGGATTCAAGGTTCCAGAAATACATCAGTTCTCTGTATCAGGAGGGTTATCACTCTTGAAAAGACATTATTTCTCTTGCTGCCTGGTTTATAAACAATTACCCAGCTCCAAAAATCATATTGCAAAATCCCAGAATGCTCTAGCAGGCATTTCTATGAACAGGTTGAAATTTTATTGTTCGACTCCAGCCAGAGAAGGAATGCTGACACCCGCAAGAGACATTAGAAAACCCCAAAGATTTCTGCCTTGCTCATGCCCTTGCATTTTGGTGATTGCCTGTCTTGTCAAAAAATGTGATCTGACTACACTGAAATGCAATGCTCCTCCTCTCAGTCTTCTCATTTGGTGTTCCTTTGAGAACAAATTACACTCTCAGTGACTTATACTCAATTCCTGCAAACCAAAGCATAAGACACCTGGTAATTTGCCACTTGCCCTTGGTGATTCACCCTATTCCATTCCTTTTCAGTGACTCCTTCCAGTATTTATGTTCTTACTGGAAAGATACTAAGTGAGGAACTAACTATAGAGGAAGCTTTCACAAAGAGGAATGCTTAGTCAGTTGCTAAATTACATCCACCCTAATAAAAAATGCAGCTGTCCAGCACTTGCCCTTGTTAAAAAATCCTAATTTTCTTCTGTTCCCTGCAAAAACTCTAGTTAGGGGTCTCTTCTGAAATCCCTGTAAAGGAAAGTCAAATGCAAGTAAGAGGAGCTGCTTAGGAGTCCATAACATCCAGACTGTTATGGAGTGAGTTGGGTGGTTTTGGTTTCCATCAAAACCTAGCAATTTGTGGTTTTATGTACAATACCAGTACTGTGTGTTACTTTGACAAACAAGCCAACTTCAAACCGCCAAGCCAACTGTGGCACTGCTGAACTTCTCTGTGTAGAATGAGATAATGTAGATCCTCCCCGTTAGGTGTCCACAGTACTTTTCAAGTTTGACTCAGACAAAGTAATGTAATAAAATATTAGGAATCAGGAGCTGAAGCAAAAAAAAAAAATTACCCAGGTCAGAGCACTCTTTAAGACTACTACAGCACATCCAAGTTTGGAAGAAACATTCTTTACAGGTTGGAATAGCTCTTATTATATGAATTTTTAGACCACTAAAACAGTATCACAGGACATTTTAATTAAAAAAAAAAAAGCATAATATGCCAATTCTGGAAAGAAATCCAACAGTGAAATCCTATAGGCAGGCTCAAAAAGCACTCCTGAGACAAAAGAGGCTGAGAAAGCACAGGGAAGGGGGGGCTGCAGGGGCTGCTCGGCACCGTCTGGCCCAGCGCCGGCACGGCAGCCCCACACAGGGTACAACAACGTGTAAGTAAAAGCCACAAAATACAACGGCTGTATGCAAAATTTTCACTAAATCAGAAAGTGTACTTCATCTCATCATATGCTGACTTATGTGGTCCTCAGCACTGCTGTTGTGAATCTGCTCTCTGCTCCATGTCTTTTGTAATTTTTATCTGGAGCAAAGATGATCCTGGATTTCATTTCCTTCCTACATAAACATGTAACTTCAAGTTTTTAAGATAACCTAATGCCTGTTCTGAAAAAGGTTTCTAGACTCTTTGTTTTCTGCGTTAAGAATGGAGTTTCTTTCATTAGTGTAATCTTAATTTGTAATTCTGGATTGAAATTATTTTACCCAGTGAAAAAGTCCAACAACATGGATTTAAAGTGTCACATCTCATATCTGTGACTGCAGCTGCCAGTGAAGCTGTCTGTGAAGCTTATAAACATGTCAGTAATGTTGGACAGATTCTTTCAATATTACAATGGATTTGGTTTGGGGGAATAAAGTGATGTTAAATTTAACTGAGATTTAATAGTAATTGGAATGCACTAGCTGGATAGCTTGATACCTTTCTTCATTCAAATGGAAATAAGACTTTTACAGAAGAGTCAAACAATAATTTGAAGACAAAGTATTCTTTAATATTAAGGGAGAAATATCTGTATTTGACTTGCTGTGCCAGACAATGAAGTCACATAGTAGCAAACAATCTGAAATTAATTATGAAAATGATGAATTCATAGTTTGACAGTTGCAACCACAGCTGTAGCAGTAGACACAATTACAACCTTTTCTGCATATTCCCCTCACTCAACACATGGGGTACAAACAACTATAAGGAAAATGCAACCTCATGTTATTCACAATGACTGTTTCCTGATTCATCCCAAATATAAAAAATGCTCTCTGACTTAATTTTTATATTTTAGCAATGAAAGAATTCCTAACCCTCACATTCTAAAGAGGGAGTAGATTTGCCCAAGATTCCATGTTAAGGCACAATTTATATGCAACACATTGATGTACTTATACTACACGTTGTAAGTTATTTAAACTGTGAAATATTGGTAAAAGTCCTTATGATACAGCAAAAGATTTTAAATATAGTAGAATAGCAGTTGAGTCAATTGTTCAGATTCCAATCACCAGTCATGGGGCTACATGTTCTTACCGTTGCTCTGCACTTCTGCATTAACAACTTTTATATATCAAGTTATACAATTTATATGCTAAAAGACAACTAGTCTTTCATTTAACAGGAGCAGATATCAGATACTGACTGATGGAAAATTATTTCAAAAACTACGAATTTTGACTTCTGAAACCCAATTCTTCTTTGCCAGGCTCCATGGAGTTAAAAAAAAGGAAAATCATTTTCCAAAGAATACCTGCAGATAGTAAAACATTCTGTTCCAGCATCCAAGTACGTACAAAAATGGGGGGTTTTAGGCTACAAAACAGCTAAGTCTTGCCTCCCCCCCTCCAATTTATTCTTACACCAGAAACCCTGTAATAATACTCTAGAACATTGCCAGAATGAAATTTTACCTTTTTAAAGAGGGGGAAAAACAACCTCGTATTTTTTTATTTCTAGTCTCCATCCCACCTTTCCAGCATGGTGGCACTGTTATTTCTAGTTAAATGAGGGCATGGCTTACCTCTGTATTGAGGATTGTCTACAGGGTCTGATAAATAGAGACCTGCTATTATTACCAGTTTTACAACAGCTTCTATTAAAATAATTCTGCCAATTTTTAATTGCAACTTCTTTACATTTCATGTAATTATCAGGATTTTAAATAAACTTTAAAATTTATTTTAAAGCAGCAGCAAAAACTGTAACAAGAGATAAAGTAGATTTCTGCTTAAGTGCCAGCAATTAAACTAATAAAGAACATTGTAACCAAGGCATCTTTTCTACAGGTAATTCTGATTATAAGAATTATTAATAATAAATAAGTATAATATTTTCCTTATATTAAATTCCATACTATACACAGCTTTAAAGTTTAAATATTCTTAGTGTTCTATTGCCATAACTATTTTTTTCCATTTGAGCACAGATTTAGTAAATAAAAATATATATGCACAGGTATTTACTTCTGGTTTGTCATACTATATGCATGTTTATAACTAATACAAAATGTAAAAAGAAAACAAGTATTTTAAGTATACATATCACAGTTAAATAATTGCAATAAATTTGCTGTTTGTTCCTTACAAACCCTTTGTTTAAAAAAAACAAAACAGTTTTATAAATTCATTTTAGCCTCCAGTGAAAATATAAAGGGGACAGTTGCCGAAAATGATCCTATTAGAAAACAGAATTTTGTAATGTAGATATTCAAAACTCTCTAAACAAAACATAAGTAAACTGCTATTTGTACTGCTAATAAGCACAATAACAAATGGATGAAAAAAATAATCTACTCTTTAAATTTTACTTTTACTCTAGAACCCTGTGTGAAAAATTAGTTAAAATTAAAAAGGGGGACACAATGTGTGAAAGAGCCACAGTATTCCAGTCCTTCTAAAAACAGGTTGCAGTAGGTATCAATAAAGTGATTCTATTATTATGTATTTGGGAGTGTGTTTATGGATTTCACAGTTTGTTATCAATATTTTGATAATGTGCAGATAGTTGCTTACTCCCTTTACAAGGCATCTATTCACACAGAGTTGACTAAAATATGTCTGTATTGTCTGACAACACTGTTCTTATTGAAAAAAAAAAAAGACATGGCTGTATATGAAGTTCGGACTTTTTCTTTGGATTATCAAATAACTTTTTTCTTTGGATTTTCAACAAACATTTGTATAGAAATTCTTTTCTTGCTCTCACTTACAATTTTCAAAGTTCAAGTACTTGCCCTTCAGGAGGAATCAACTACCACTTTCTGTCCTTTGATCAAGGTTAAATCAGTATTAACCCCTAGAGTGTTATTTTAAGCACTACAAAGTACAGAGGAAACACCACCTCATCAAAATGGGTTAAGTCGTATTCCTGTTCCTAGTGGTGAAAAAGGATTGACTTTGGCCCACATCAAAGCATCATTCAGTGAAATAGCAGATTTTCCATCTTCAAGGAAGAACACTGGACCCTATACAGCAAAAATGTTTGGAGAGGGAAAGAAAAAGAAAGCACACAGGTATTGTGTAAAAGCCACCACAGCAGAAAGCACATTTTATCTGAGAAGAACACGAAAATCTTCTTTACAACTAACCTTCATGCAAAAAATTGTACCCCCCCAACTTACAACTTTGATAACAGTTACACATTATAAATTGAGTGAACTTGCTATGTTCCCAAACCTGGCTACCCAACATTTAATAATATTTAAATTTTTAGTTTGATTTTTAATAATATATTTTACTATTATTATATATATGCTTGTCAATTATTCCAGAGTTTAATGTAGCCTGATTTAGAAACTCAGGTAACAAGCTTTCTTCCTTCAGAATACTGTCCATGCCTCATGGTGTCTGTCATAATCTGTGCTGATCTGTGGTTTTTCCTATCTACAAAAAACCCCAATATAATGCATCCATGAATTGTTTGAAAACATGGAGTCTACAGAATAATTTCAAATGCTCACTACGAAAAGGAAAAAATACTCATTTATCTGATGGAAGAAGAGCTATTTGGCAATTTATTCATTTGACAAAATCTGGTCTCAAAGGTGTAATTCAGTTTAAACGCTTTCTTAAAGGGTTGAGCTCTCCAAACTTGCTACTTAGAACTTGTAAACCCAATGCAATTAGGCTACTATACACCTTAGTATTAACTAAGTGATTTGTGAGCTGATCTGCATGCCTAAAGCAATGACTCCTAATGTACAATAATCTGGAAATAAGGATATTGTAGATGACAAGATGGTGACACCATATTTGCTGTGCGTGTTGAATGGATTATAACAATGGCAGCTTTACGTGGCTGTTAGCACATGTTGAGAGCACAGCCATAGCCAGAGACCACTGATCTAATGTGAAAGTGTTGACAGCAAGTTTTTTTTTGATTGATGGGGTGCAGCTGTAAATTTTGTTTACCTCAAAAATCCCACTAGCATTTTGCAATGTCCAAGTTCTGACACAAAACTATCCTGGAACCACCCTGTTACTCTTTGGGCTGGCATCTTGCACTGGACAGAGGAGACAGTATCATCTAAGAGAGTAAATTCACACTGAGGCACTACCTGGAGACAGGAGTAGTGTTTTCAGGATCTGTCAATTTTCTCTTTATTGAAATAACAACATATACCAAAGAGGCGTTATAAGGACTAATGTGTCATAAAGCTCCATATGAGTGATGAATAAATATCTTTGAATATTTAGTCTGCTAATATCTGGCTTTAATTAGTCACGAATTGCAAGTTTGTATTTCCATAGTGATAAATACCAACACCACAAAAATGTTAGTATGTGTTTGAAGAAAAATAATATCCTGGCTTTTATTCAAGCTGTGGTGAGGTAGTAGGCAATAATTTACATGCACTTCAGGCAGAACATCTGGCAAAGGAAATCTGTCTTTCACATGGAAATTAAAATGTTTTGGATTTGGGAAATGACAATTATTTGATTGGACAATTCTTTACGCAGCCTTTCTTACATAGCACATGTCAGCGTTTGTCATCTTTAACTCTGCTACTGTGAGAACAGGGTAAACATTTTTCCTCCTAAATGATGGATGGGACCTTAGATTTATGGCAGCCTCACAACTAGTCATTGCTATCACCAAGAAAGAACACTTCAGCTCTCTGAAGCCGTACCTGTATCTTTAGCCCTGTCAAACAAGAGATATGAACATCTGAATGACTAGGAAGATTTGATCCAGTGACACAGTCTGGCCCAACCATTCCTTTCAGAGGCTCCTCCTGAATTCGTGATACGAGCACTGAATACACCGCTCTCTGTGATTCAGATGGTGGGGTGCATGGCAGTTCATCGCTAGACCTAAGAACAAAAGATATTTGGTTTTCAACTATACTTCTTAATTTGTTTTAGAAATTAAGAGACAAAAAGCACGTTTTTCCCCCCAGTCATATTCATATTTTACAAAGAAAATAAATTTACAATTAAACAGTTAAATACTGCCAGTCTTACTCATGGTAATTTTATATTTTTCCACCTACTTGTTTAATTGTGTGCAAGCTCTCCATGCATCTAATTCCTCAGAAAGCTGTTCAATTTTCAAAGGTACGGATACTTCCCGTCTTTTTAAAAGCTGACTGAAAAGAAATAAAAGTAATCAAAGTCCAAATTAATTCTAACAATGAGTATTTTCTTAGAAGCAAAACAAGATAGACATTAGTAATAAAAAATTATTTCTGATTGGATATGGAAATAACTTGATGGAAATAAATTGATCCTTCACAATAATTGCTATATTAAACCTTATAAATATTAATACTAGATATAAAAGTATACCTTTTCATTTAAATTTTATTTTAATTATTCCTATTTACACCTTATTTAATTAGCTTTATTTTTTTTTAATTTGAGGCCATTCTATATCTTAAGGCTATATGTGTTCTTATTTCTTAATAATGTCAGCTTTACTAAAATTAAGGACCTATTTTGCCTATATATAGTAGATATGGTAAAAGTATAGTTAGAGAAATGGTTCAACACATGCTCTGGGACAGCCTGGTTTTACTTGTGGAAAACAGTTTCAAAACCCTTGCAGTGGACACATTTTTTATTTATCAAAATATAAAATAAGGGACACTTACTACCTGACCTAATTCAGCCACCTTTCATTTGTGTTGGGATGCCCTAAAAAGTCCAGCTTGTAGGTAAGCATTTAAGTGTCCAGTTTAAAATGGGCTGAAATCTAAAAATCTATGAATCCTGAAGATATTGGGCAATCCAAGAATAAACCTTACAGCTGTATTGTTCTGTGGTTCTTTATATCCCAGGAAAATTGAAAGCCTGACAGCCAAAAGTATCAAAAACTGAGTATCAAAGACTGCGTATTACTAGTCTGTCAATATACATATCAGAATAGCCCTTCTGTAAAAGCTTGTATTTCATCTTGTTATTTCTGGAGGTTCAGGAAAAAACAAAACAAAACAAAACAAAAACAACAAAAAAATGCTCTTTTTCCCTTTTCCCAATCCTCTCACCAAGTTTCAGCCATGAGGATGGCTAAGAGGAAAGACATATTAAGTTGTTTAATTATCCTCGGTAGGCAATTCTGATAAAATATCAGGAAGTGTAGGAAAGGTCACAATTCTAGTGAGGTGTGAAAGGACTGAACAACATATACACAACATTTATCCTTGATGAAGAGATAAAGGAGTTGAAATTATTAGCAAAGCTACAGGAGTCCGTTAGAGCAGCTAATGCAGGAGTAACTGCTGGAATAATGTCAGCACAGCTTTCACTGTGAAATCAGTGACACCTTGGAGCTGGCCTTGGAGCTGGCCTTGCTACTCAGCAAGTTAGGTGACAAAACCAAGAGGAATTGACAGACCCAACAGTGAAGGAGAAATGGAAATAAGTCAGCTGGATATCATTACTGAACCAGACAGGAAGACTAAACAATCGTGGTTATACTCTGAGGAAGGAATACTAAAGTATGCCATGTAAGTCTATTTTATTTACCATATAAGATAAAGATGATTCATCTTAATCTTTCTGTTTTCTAGTCCAAGTTAGTTGGTTCAAGTTCAAGTGGGGTCAGATGAAGTCAGGTGTACCAAGTGAAATCAAGCAGGTCAGGTTGAGTAGGGTCAAGTGAGTTGGGCCAAGCCAGATTGGGATGGGTCAGGCCAAGTCTGGTCAAGTCAAGTGGACAAAGTTGGGTCACGTGTAGTGGTTGAGGTCAGGTCAGGTCAGGACAACTGGGTCAGGCTGAGCTGATTCAAGTCAGTCAAGTCTAGTCAGGTGGGCCTAGTCCGGTCAGGTATAGTCAGGTGATCAGTTGGGGTTGAGCTGCACCAAGCTGGCAGGACCAGGCCAGGTCAGATCAAGTAGGCAAGGTTAAGTGTATTAATGTCTGGAGATATTAGTTCCCTGAGTAACAGAAGGCAAAATCAGGTTTCTTGTTGAAAATCAAGCTAGTGCCCAGTCATGAACTCCAAATTCAAAGCTTGTCCTTGTTGCTACAGAGCAAGTCTTGGCAAATGGTCTACAGGTAGATACAAATTAGAAGTGTTACTGTCCATATACAGTCAGTCATGCATGGAGGTGATGCTGAATACTCATCTACTTCTAAAAATTGTTTTTTTACAGAACTCAAGAGTTTGACTGATATCCTAGTTTCAGACTCATTGCGTTACCTCAGAAACTTTTATGCGTATAACGCATAAAGAAAGTAAAGAAAGTTCTGCATGCAAGCATGTCTACACCCTTACAGCTTTATAACAAAACTGGGAACTTGGTTGTTTTTGGTTTTCTTTTTCTTTTTTGGAGGGGAGGTTAAGGGGAAGTGGCAGCAATGTATGGTATATGTCATAATAAGGTCTGAGATTTCTCAGTGTAAGTGAAAACATAATATTACCTTGTATACTCATACAGTGCAGGTACAATGCTATTGTACTGTCTTCTGATAGCAAGTAAAGCACCAATGTAACCACACAAAATCAGCAACTCATTCCGAAACCTATAAATGGACAAGTATTAATCATGAAAAACAACAAGCATTTCCAAAACATTAAACAAACTCACATTCACATTATAATGTTAAAACCTAATTTATCCATCCACCTTCTGTGGAGAATGTATGTTTGCTGATTATGCTTATTTTCTATGTCACGGAGTTGTTAAAACAGACTCTGTGTGTTTTACACTCATCTCCATTGTTAAATTTTAAATGGCAGATACAACACAGTTTTTAAGCGCAATCATGTAAAGTTACAAAAACAACACTCAGCTTTGAATGTGGTAGAATTCTAAATGGAAATAAAATTGCCCCAAATATTAGTGCAGACTTCAGTTTCACCAAATTTCCCCAGCTTTTTTCTCCTTTTAGTTCTTCATATGTACACTTGTGTAGGCATCTAGGCCTAGTTTCAACTATCTGTCATAAAGATGAACCACAGCTTCCAACTATTATAGAGTTAATACTGAGAGTGGCAGCTCAACTTTTCTTAACACTTAGACACAAAAGCCCACATTATGTGTAGTTCCACTGTTCTTTTTCTTCAGGAAACTGAAACCAGAACAGATCAAAGTGAAGGTCTTCCCATAAGACCAACATTGACTCACCCCTTCTAAATATGCCACAGAGAAAGAAGCAGTAAAATATCCTTTTTTTTTTCTTGCTAAACCTTCAAAATTTAGGAAAATTCCACATTCTATTCTCCAGATTGAGAATCAGCCAGCTTGCTGAAAATTCTTTTTGTATCCTTCTTCTGGTAAGCAAAAAGTGATAGTAACAGTGTTCACCTACATATATATATATATATATATATTTGTTTATAAGTTCCAAAAGTTTCCTTTAATGAAAGTTCCACTTTTCTAAGTAATGAAAATATACTCACTCACTACATTTATGCAACATTAATTGTTCAGTGCGTATGTAACTTAGAAGATCAAGATATGGAAAGACTGAATCCAAAGTCCAATCTGAGCCACAAAGTTGTTCTGTTGAAAAATAAAAATATCTCAAGAGGCAAGTTATACAAATGACTTATGCTTTAAAAGGTTTCTTCATCCAAGTACCTACCTTTCACATACTGAATGCCAACAGGAAGAGCCCTGTCAGGTTCTGTGCTTAACAGATAGTACTTTATCATTTCAAATATATCTCCATCTGCCTGAATTGTCTCTGCCAACCGCATACATTCTTCTACATCAGGAAGATTGCACTGGAAAAAAACATTTTGCCAGAAAATGACAGAAATGTTCAAACAATTCTTTAAGATGCAGAGAAACGCTGATGTTTGAACATAACAATAAGAAAAAATTCTCTCTGAAGGACTCATTGTTTGAAAGATGTACCTGCATATGATGCACATTAAGAAAGCCATCTAGAACAGAGAACAACACAGGGGGAGAAGGTTCTGTAACTTTAATTTAAGCAGTACCAGTTTCCATTGCCAATGTTTTTGTGAACATTTTACTACTGCTTAATAAATGTGCAGTCTGACCTGAACCTTAAGGGAGTTATCAGAGAAGATCCTTCTGCTGCTGAAGAGGAAAGGAGGGATTTAAGGATATTAAAGGGATGAGATGTAAAACAACTCAGACTAGTAAAGAAAGCTGATCTGCCACAACATGATTAGGCTGCATATCTAGTAGGCTGTAAATCATACTGACTTTATGATTCTGAAGATCATAAGCTACTTCAGAAAGTAACCTGTGTAATGGAAAGCGTACACCAAGAGCAGAATTAAAGAACTAAATTTCTTGCACAATACTGAAAATAAAGTCAATGAAGACTAAAAGAGCAAAGAAGGGTATGTAAGACTGTTGGGGACAAATTCATCCTACAGATTTATTTGGCCTTAAGTTTTTTGAAATTAGTAAACAAATCAATACATAACCTCTTATTAGCATTCAGGTAAATTTTTTTACATTGTACCTTTTCATGCAGGTCATTTATTTCTGCTATGCATCCAGGATAAAAAGCACATAGTTTTACTAAATGCAGTTTGTTATCAGGAATCATCATAAGGAGATCAGCTGCTAAATCCCTGCACAAACAAAAGATGACATGTAGTTACTCTTGATGGTTTGTAATAGGAGGAAACTGTTTTCTCTTTAACATTCTTTTTATAAAGAAGAGTTTACTGAAAACAACACTATTTCCAGAGAAGTGCAGAAGCAATCTCAGTCTCTAAGACTATTTTGGTGCAATAAATGAGGCTTAATCTATTTATCTTTTTGAGGAAGTCATCAGTGAATTTTCTGTTGCTTTATTGGTTGAATTAAACAGCTGTGCAATCCTAAAGCATCAGAACCACCTCAAAGTGAGGTGGAAGAATACATGAGCAGGGATGGGAAGGGAGAGTAGGAACTATCCAATTTGAGAGAAGGAAAGATGACTATGTAGTTCTCTGTCATGAAACCATCCTCAAACTTCCAGGCCTCTAAAGCTCCATGACATCAGCATAAAGCATCTCTCAGTCATCCAGAATGGCATGCTTCTATGACATTAAAATAGAGAGATTATACAAGAAAAGAATGTGATACCTATTTTCATTCTTCTCAAAGGAAAACCGTGTTTTAACAAACTGACATTTCTGAAATTTTCCTAACTTTTTACCATTTGTTACCCTATCCTGAACACAATAAGTAGCTGGAGGGAACACATGTAATATTAGGAAATCATTCTTAAACAATCATTCTACTCAAATATTAATAACTGGCTATTCTGGTTGTTCTCTGACTCTTCTATTCATGCAGACATCATTTCTCCTGTGACCCACAAGACTGACTTGCTCCTATGTAAGGCAAAAAATCCTACCAAGCTCCTCTGGATTTTCAGACTGGGGTCCTTGGCTTAAAAATGTTCAAGTAAACTATTGTCTAATATTTGTAACTGCTTTCTATCCCACTATCAAGTACTCATCACAATTAAAAATGAGAATACTTAGTTTAATCTTATTTTTACCCTTAATAAATTCATGTGCTTTTCAAATCTTTCTTTCTATAAACAAGTGAAATACCTGTATCCAAGTGATGGAAAGCTAAAAGGAAGACATTGAAACACTAATGAACAAACCTTTGTATTATTTTACAGAAGAAATATCTAAGAGAAAATAATTAAAAGACAACAGAAAATCTAAGAGTCAGGGCAACTGACTTTAACAACAACAAAAAAATAGCTTTCCAATGCCTTTTGACTACCTAAAGAAATTAATGCCAAAAGGTCTTTGGAATATCTGTTATACTATTACTGTGCAATAGCCACTTTTCCAAGTTACAGAAGCGCTCTTTCAGAATATAAGATATTTCACAGTTTCTTAAACTATTTTTAAGATCAGTTACTCACATGTGCTAATCTTCAAAAGCAATTTAAACACTTTTTTAATGTGATTAGAAGTTATTTTGCAAAATCTGAATCCAATGTTTATTTAAAAAAAATAATTCAAAGAAGTTCTCATGTAACATTACCTGGAATGATTTTTAAGAATTATGCTGAAAACACTGTCAAGTATAAAGATAAAAATTAGGTGGCTGAGTTTGCATATGCAGAATTCATTATCTCAAGTAAAATATAATTAACCTTTTGAATAGTAGAAGGTTGCTTTTAACACTATTTAGGCGTTAATTTCTCAAGGCTGTAGGTTTGGGGAAGGACATGAATGCTTAGTTTTGACTTTATTTGTTTAAATTTTATATTTTAGAGCTCTTTTAAAAAGAACCAACCAAATCCCAAGAAACATTCCACCAATAAAGTGTGTCTCTACAATGAAATGTTTCCAATTGATGGAAATCTCTAAGCATAACAACCAATAAAAACAAAAAGGGAACCCTTCAAATGTCAGAGACCTGGAACTCCAGCTTCCCCATACATGATCTTATAAATGCAGTGAACCATGATGTATTGTGCTGTGTCAGTATCTCTTTATTACAAAATATGAAGATATTCATGAATCCCTGATCTTTTCCTAGACAATAGAAAAAATATGCTGTAATGGCTGAAAATCAGACTCCAGGATTTCAGATTGTAGCTGCAGTAGGTATTCAGTATAGCCCACTGTGAAATGCAGATGTATACTTGGGCAGTACACAGTACACCATTTCAAAATTTTACCACATGTGCCAATGTAGACTTCAGTACACATATGCCATAAGTTTGCAGAAGCTTTATGTACCTAAACATAAATGCCATACTACTATAAGTACTTGTTACAGCTCTGAGATCAGAACAAGCTTTTGTTATGGAACTGGAAAAATATACACTGTTTTTCTTAACTCCACATCCAGTGCTTCCTATTGGAGGCTACATAAAAATCACCCTTCACAATGAAGGCAGGGAGATCAAAGAAGGAGCTTCAGAGACTAACAGCTGGATCTGGAGCTGCCAAAACTACCCTGTTAAAACTGGTGCATTGCAGACCTGCTAAATCATTGCAAAGTGAAAGTAGCAAGCCATCAATTTCTTACTTTATCTTTTTCTACAACGCTTCATTGTCTAAGGCAGGCTAAATGCTCTATAGAGAGGAGTTCCACTGTTTCTCTCAGGCTGCCTCTAGATATTTTAGCACTAACTGTAGCAGAAAAACTGATTCTTAATTGCAGCGTCTCTTTAAGTACATCTTTTCTACGACATATTAATTATGAAACACCTTTATATCTGCCAAATATACCTTGGGACAGTTTTCTGCTTTTCACTGGTAGGTAAAAAACAAGAAGCTGTACTCTTCAAAGTAAAACCAGAGAAGGTTTCCCCTATATGCAACAGAGAAATTACTCCTGCAGAATTAAATAGTAATCCTGTTTCATCCTTAAATCTTTTCAGCTGTCTGGTATTCCTAATACCAATATAAAATAATTCCTCAGACTATTAGCTTCTGTATTTTTCAAACGAGTACTTAAAAATCATTTCACAGATCCCACTTGAGCTTCTGTCCCTTTTAACTTTTTAATTCAATTCCAGTGTTACTTTGTTGGAAGCAGTTATTTTTACTCAGGACCGACCAGGACTTCATGTGCTACCTATTGCCCAAGTAGCTGGTGGTTTTTCAATGGTTTTCACACTCTGTTTGACAATGACTCTTCTCTCATTTACAATGCATACATAACGTGTTTTGAGATCAATGCAGAACATTTGCATGCCTTGTACTTCAAAGGTCTAATAGCAGCAATTCTTATTCTACCTACCCATGGTGGTTTGGTCTCCATAAAAGTTCCAGAATGATATATACCTTGATTGTTTTGTCAGGAAAAAAAATTTATAAAAAATTTCTTTGGATTAAGAAATTCTTACCTTGTTGCTACTGCCATACACTTTCTTGCTAGTAATTCTAGGGCATAATGTGTTGCTTGTGCTGCACTTTCTCCCAAGACAGTACCCACACTGACTGCCAGCTCCAGTTCATTTCCACGAATCAGGTTTGCCATTGCAAGCTTGCTCAATGAAAAAATTAAATCATAAGAATTTTTGGTATTCACCATGTTGAGCATATGACATTAATTTACGAGAATGCTTTTTACAGAAGGACAAAATATGCAATATTTAAAGTAAATTATATATAATTTGGGTCTCTTGCATGAGTAAATAACTGTGTACCACATGTTAATCAGTTTTTAAATAAACGAATAGATTTCCTTTAGCAGAATCTTCCTTTATTTAACCAAAGAGATTACATAGATATGATAACTAAAAAGTATGATAGGAATCTCATCTAATATTAAGTAATGACACTAACTTTCAAAGTATATACTTCCCCTTTCTTTCAGTGAAGGGAGACTCAAAAAAACAAGAAACCAGGAAGGATTCTCCTGATCTTACACTCTCTGGCCAACCAGAGTTGCTGGTAGGCATAGCAGAATGTCAAACAGTAAAAGACTACACAACAACTTGGAATATGCTTATTTTGAAATACAAGCATTAATTGATTCTCGATTTCTCTCTGAACAGCTGATTGAGATCAAATTATACTTAGCTGGGGGGGATAAAGGAGGAAAACACGTTAAGTCCAGAAAGAATGTGGAAAAGAAACTATTTGTATAAAAATTAAAAAAAAATGAAAAATCCAGTAAAATGTTTCCTACATGTCAGTTTTATATTTGTACTGAGGGGTGGGGTTTTGTCCTATTTACTTTTTCATTTAGACTGTAAATTCTTGAAGGCAGAGATTGCATCTTCTGTAGAACAATAACTTTGAGTTCTGAATACCTATTTTGAGTCACCATAAACAGTAAACAGTAACACTTAGGTGTATATATGTAAGGTATTTAAGTATCTTATATTTTCTAATATAACAAGATACTGTATATACAATTCAACAACAACATATTATTTTCTGTGCGTGAGAAAAATCTTGAATTTAATAGAATCAAGGAAGTTTTGCTAGTAACTTTAATACTGTAAGGATCTAACTCTGCATAAATATATACAAATCAAATACCAAGTATAAGTAGAATTTTAGAATGTGATACATAAATTTTAAAACACATGTGGAGAAAGGAAGACAATGTTGGCTTTTTCATAATTAAAGACAAAAATAATACCTCTATATTTTCAACAGCCAGATGACAACATGCTGCAAGCACTGCATGGCCATCCTGAAAATACCAATCTGCCAGTTCTTTACTGACCTTGTGCAGGAGCCTGCAAGAACAAAACATGAATTCTGCAAGATCACTTTCAGGCTGGAATCCTTTGGTTCTTAATTTATGTAAAATTCACCGCATTTCCTTCTGTACCCTAAAAATTGCTATATTTGACTTACGACTAGCTTGAAAAATGCAATCTGTTTGAGCTTCATCCACTGCTTAGGTTGGTGTATACTCACCGGGGTCATTTCCCAAAATCTACGTAAGTACAGAAATGGCTCTTCAGACTGACGCAAGAAAAATCAACCTGTAAACTCTGCACAAGTATTTCTCTAATTGCTCAAAAATTGCACATGTAAATGAAGCAGCTACACAGCCTCTAAATTACTTGTTACTACACCAATAACTTGATAATATAATTCAGGTTTTTGAGCACGGTTCTAAACAAGGAGAGGTGCATGCTTTGGGTTTTTTTTAAGGTCATGGACAATGAAAATCACAGAATCATAGGATGGCTTGGGTTGGAAGGGACCTCAAAGATCACTTAGTTCCATGTCCTAGCCACGGGCAGGGACACCTTTCCTTAGACCAGGTTACTCAGAGCTCCACCTAACCTGGTATTAAACACTTTCAGGAGTAGGGCTTCCACAACTTCTCTAGGTAACCTCTTCCAGAACCTCATCACTCTCACAGTAAAGAATTTTTTCCTAATATCTAATCTAAAACTACTGTCTCTTAGTTTGATTTTTAGTGTACGTTGTCAGAATCTTTACTGATGACAAAGAGCAAAGCTCCAGGAGCAGATGATGCATAATAATAGGGGATAATAAATACTTGTTAATGCTAAATCTTACCCTGCTTACGAAAAGTTCTAAGTTAATATGCTATATATTTAAGGATATAGGAATGCATCTTAAATATCAAGCAAGTGAAAAGGACGTTTATAATACATACAAATGAAAAATCCATTTTGCGCCAGGAGGAGTCACAAGAGGGAAATTAGTGTAGCATCAGATAGTTAGTAACTCTATTAACTATGTACTAGAAGATGCAATATTTTAATTCTAAATTGCTGATGCCAAATTAAACCACTAAGCTTTATCTCCTTTAATGACTTTACGTTCTGTACTAAAATGAGGTTTTAGATATAAACTAGAACAACTTACTCATTATAATCATCTGTATTGTTTCCACCAGAATTTGAAGATCCACTTGCTGTGGAGAGTGGTAACATCTGTATATTTCCTTCACAAGCTGCCTGGTAGTGAATAAAAAACATTAATTAATGCACAATTGAAACTGAAGACGGAATACAATTTTTTTTTTAACAACAACAAAAATAACCTATGATCTATAAAAATAATTCTGAGGCCTAGTTATAACAAAGAAAATGCTTAAATGTTTAAACTAATGAACTTATTCATAGCTGGGGACCCCTGGTTGGCCTAGTGGTTAGCACGCGGGACTCTCACCGCTGCGACCCAGGTTCGATTCCCAGTCCCCCCGGGCAGATGGAGCCCGTTAGCCCTGTGAGGCCATCCATCTATGAGAAGGTCACTCTAAACAAACCTATGTCCTGAGGACCTCACTGCCATTGTCCAAGCTTGCTTGGCTCTGGTAGATGAACCTTAGGATTAAAGGGTGGGCTCAGTTCAGCGCAGGCTGTGTCTCACCTAAAAAAAATCCATTGCGCAGGCTGGAAAGGTAAAAGACCTTTCCCAAAATCTTCGTTCGCGAAGACTGGCCATTATTATTATTATTCATAGCTACATCTTAGCCTAATTTTATCCAGCCATACAAGAAATTCTACAGAAGCAATAGACTTCTTCCTTCCTATGCATTTGGGCAAGATTTTTCCAGCATTTGAATATGCTTAAAATGGACAGTGAAGATTACAACCTTGATTTTTACACCGCAAGGAGCAAGTGGCTATGAGTGAAAGATGAAGTCTATAGATACTTCTCAGCAGGTATAACAGCAAATTGGAAATGTTTGGCATACAGTGGCAGAAAGTGGCATAAGCTTAACTTTTTTTCTGTCTGGCAATAATTTATTTCTAACATTAAATACAAAGGGATCAGTGTGGGTTAAATGAAATCAGTGGACAAAGTGGTGTTTGGTCAAGGGTTGGACTCAATGACCTCAAAGGTCTTTTCCACACTAATTGGTTCTGTGATTCTGTGAATTCTTTCATACGCTTTAAGGTGTAGCTGGGATAACATGATTAAATCTCAGAGCTGAGTTAAAAGGGAAAATAAGTCCTGGTATTTTGTTGCTTAATATTATCTGATTAAACCTTTGAGACAAAGATCATTCTATGAATTGTAATATTTCTCTGTAATCTCTCTTACAAGACAAATTAGGATCTTTCTAAAGCTTTAATTTGCTTTAGGGTTCCAACATTTTAACTTGTTAAATCTAAGCATGTATCGAAGTTCCATTCTGTACATTATTCAGCTAATGAGCTAAAACATTCAGACAGACAATTTCTCAGTAGAAATGCAAGAGAAATCAAATTCTACACGTCTTTGATGTTAAGGTCAATACTGACTGTTGAAAATCAGGTTCTATTTCAATCAAAATTGAACACATCAGTTTTCACTATGGTTATGTGATTGCAGTTTAGAACAATCAGGCTTTCAATACATAAACATGACATACCTTCTTTTGATTTTTGCATAAAAACTGGGCAGTACAATATGAAAGTAAAGACTCAGGTATCATTATTCACTACTTTGCAAAAGTGAACAGAGCAAGCCTTTTAAATATGCTTGTCATATTCAGAGTTATAAGCTCATAGCTAAATACATCTCCCCCCACTGTTATATGTAGTAATACCTGTGCAACAAGAAGCGCCTCTTTAAGCTGACCTCTCAAAGTAAAGAAAGAAACTAGTTTCTTCACATCTCCAGTAGCTATACAGTATGGGATGACATCATCATTTTCTTCCTGAATTAACTGATCAGCTCTCCTAATTAAACAAATGAATAAATAAACAAGAAAGATCTACACATATGATTAATCACCAAACTTATCTCTATGGTATAGGTGTTAGATGAAGCCATATAAAGATCACTGAAACCCATTTGCCTTTCCAGACTTACAAACTGTGGATACTGCACTAAAGAGTTCACAGCTGAAGTTCCAATTTATGTTTAACCCTTTGATTCAAGTACACAAAATTGTTGAAATCCTCCACAGTTCCATCCCAAAGCTTACTGAACAAAAAGTAACATAACTAGAAGGCTGTAACAAAAGACAACTATAACTGATATTAGTATCCATCTTTCCTAACTTATCTGTGTCCTTTTACGGACTGAAGCTACAACTCACCATAATATTTTTATCAACTTACCTTTGCATTAACTTCCTCCAATATTTCATTGATACACCAGGTGCAACTGAGAGAGCTTTGTCCCACTAGAAGAAAGCAGCAATACATTTACCCTGATCATTTTATTTTGAGAAACAGTCATATTTTAAACTAGCTTAATTTTTCTTCCATTAAAAATAAATTTGACAACAGGTTAAATAAGGAATGAGTTATGCTTTAGACTGCATATGTTAAAAATAAGCTAACTGGAACAAGATTACTTTTTCTGGGACTTGTGACCCATTTATTGACTATCTTTGCTAGGATAGCTGGTTTTCAGAAACCTTCATATTTTGTTATTCTTCAATAATGTTCTGATGTTTTACCTCTCCAAGTTCTACCATTAGTTCACAATATCGCTGAATTTGTCCTAATCTTAAATGTATTTCTGCAGCTTCTTTGAGCCTTTCCTCTTTGCTTGGTGCACCAATACCGCCTCCAAACTTAGACATCTTTACTGTTGTCAGCTCTTGTGCCCTGGACTGAGGGGAAAAAAAAAAAAAGGACAAAAAAAGTTTTCTGTGAAGAAAACAAGTTTTCTTAAGAATACACTACTGTCAAATATTACAGTGGAATACAAAGGTTATAATTTCAGAAAAAAAACCTTTTGAGAAAAGGCTAATTGGAACCGATTTCAGTGAGATTACAGCGAACTTTATGTTGTTAAAGTAACTGTCTTAGTGTTTTGTGCTTATACACATACATTTTCTATTATCTTCCTTTAATATCTTTATATAATTTTTTATTCTCAACCATTTTCTCATACGTTATAGTAATTCATCCAGATGTCCCTCATAAAAATCTTGATACTTTGAAACTTAAAAAAAAATTTGTGAACATAAACCGTAGAGAGCTGGAAATTGAACATATTACCATTATAATGATGTCACATAAAGAAATAATACAGATAGCAGGCTCAACTGGTTGACAATAGGCTTTGTGATCTGATCTGTCATGTCCCATTAATCTTATAACCAAGAAATTATTTATATTCCCAACTAGCGCAATTTTTATATTAGTTGGAGAAATAAGACTAACTTGCTTCATCTGGCAGAGCTTGAGATACAAGTTGCAACAGAATTATAGTTAACACAGAAAAAAAAAGGTGAAACCAGCACATTTATGGCATTTGGCTATTCATGGCTTTACAGTACCATATACAGAAGATGGAGAATGAATTTTAAACATTCTTCACTAAAGTAAACTGCCATGTAGACCAATGTCAGCTCCCAAGGATCTGGGTTTTTTTAAAACAAACTATGTTACTTTTTTTCCTCAGCATCTCTATATTTTTTATTATTTTCATGCTGAAGTCTCCAATACATCCTCTCTGTTTCCTAAAAACAGAAAAAACACAGTTGCTCTGCATGCCTACTTCATCCTGAAATGCCTATGTGCTGCAAGGCCATTATCCAGTTTCCTAAGAAAAAGACAGTATTAGCAGCCCTTAACAAGCAGTCAGCATTACCCTACCCCTGCTTTCTCTTAAAGCTGTCAAACAAGATTCTGAGTCAGCAAAAAAGGGGACAAAATGACCAGCAATGACTGTAGTGATTCTAGGTCACCAGTTATAAATGCACAAAATCATGTTGCAGAGATAAACAGACTGCTTGCACTGCACAAGCCAAGAATTAATGTCTTCTCAGGCTAACTGGCTGAGAAGTCTGGTTTTTGGACACATTTACAGGGCTTCACAGGATTAGCAAAACAGCTGCTATTATTCCAGTTAACAACACCAATAAACTTTAATCATTTAAGAGTCATAAGGTATGTAGGACACTCTTAAAGAGCCTGTGATTTTGCAAAAGAGAGAGTCTGCAACAGCAAACAACAGGTGATAGGTATTGCAGAAGCGCAGGTATTACCCCTGGGGGTGGCAAGTGCATTGCCTGATCCTATACTAGTAGATAATCTTTCCTCTTTTTACAACCCAGTCATTAGAGTGTGGGATTCTTTAGTACCGCTAAGAACTCCCTGACAAAACCACAAATTTGCATATTCTGCACAAACTGTATGTCTGGTTGCATATTCATATATGCAGCTACTAATAAATTTATGGCCTAGTACTTGAATTTCACATTCACATCTGAGTTGCTCTTAAGCTGCATATCTGTATTAATGACAGGTTCTGGTTTCTCCACTCCTTCTTTCACAGACCTACAGAATATATTTCTGCTAACTCTCCTCCATTTTCCGATGTGAATTCCTCTGTTCCTGCATCTGAACACAGACACTTACTTCATGTTTATACAATCAAATAATCAAGTAATTTGACTTTACTGAATATAAAAGTACAGTGTATATAATAGGGAAGACAAACTTGCTCCATAGCTGAAGCTCTGCAATTTCTTTTAATTATTTTGAAAAAGGCTTCTCTAGTTAAAAACTGTAAACTATCATCTTAACCCTGAGTATGCAGTATGAGTATGAAGTCATGCAGACTTAGTTAGATCCTATTGTAACAGACTGATATTGCAGATGGAACTGGTATTGCACAAATATCTTTGGAAATGAAATAAATTGTAACCCTTTTATAAAGCATTAAATGTTACTTTTAAAGAGTGAAATACTATATGGAGTAACAATCATTTTCACATATTGTTCATGTTTCACTTACCATTTTAAATCTAATGAGATGTTTCATATGCATAATTCCTTTGCAGTAGTTTTGTGGAAGCAAACTGTCATCCTGTCCTTTTATTACAGCAACCAAATCCCATAAATTTTTGCTGCCTCCAGGAGGCTGAAATTGTTAGGGAAGAAAAGTTGTATTACAGTCATGCTTGAGAGAGAAACTTGAACTTATGAAGACATTCGAAAACATTTGTCTGTCAACTCCAAGAAAACAATGTCAGACCATGCCAATATTAGAACTTTCATTATGAAGGCATGAATTAATTCAAGATACTCTAAGTCCTTCAGTCTTCTTGAAGGCTGTAAAGATACAGCAAGATCCATGAATGTAAGTATTGGGTTATGTGTGGACATAGTTGAGGGGTTGCCATTAGAGTTTTCCCTTTTCCTCACAAAGAAATACAAGCTATCTTGTGGCTACTGCTGGCATAAAACAACATTCAGCTGCTGGGATGCAGGAGCTGCCTCAGTACTTGTTTACCATTTTCTGTAAAGTGAAGGCATGGGCAAAAAGAAGGTAAGGAAAAAAAACAGGTCCAAGGCTTGACTGCCAGAACCTGGTTTACTTTCTTAATATTAAATCTTAAAATAGACACATATGGCATAACTGATATGCACAAAAGCTTGCAGCACAAAGTGATCAAGGTGATTTTTTTTTTTAAAATAGCTTTTAAGCATTTCCATTGGTCTGGCCTTCGAATCAATCCTTCTGTGGATCTAAGACAACAGTTTAACACTGAATGAGGTCTAGAAGAGAGTGAGAATTTAAAAGCTTAAAAAAAAAAATCATTAAATCTTTGACCTGAAGGAGCTTTCCCAAGAATAACAGGATTACAAGTTTAGAAGTCCAGTTATGAGCTGGTAAAAAGCATGACATTCTACTAGAAAAAAAACAAAGGCAACACAAAACCCTCCCACAAAAAATATTCTCTCTTTTTTCTGTCCGTTAAAGCTCTTATTTGTCTCCTCGTTGTGTAGCACAATATCTCATTTTCTTGACTCAATAAGCACTGAGTATAGCTGATAAAAAAACCTTTTGTTCTTGGAAAATTTTAATGCTCTTATAACAGTTTTACTCTCAAATCAACATGGGCTATCAAAATGTATAGCTTCTGTGAAACAAGGAATTCCATAAAGTATATTTCTAATAAAATTTAAAATGTTCAGGTTCAAAATTGAGGAAGATTGTTTCAGCATTTCAAAATCATACACTTCAATCTAGCTGGAAATCATAACAAATATTTTGGATGAACTAGATCTTTGTAGATCAGCATATTGACTTAAATTACAACAGCATGTGACACAATCTGTAGTTCCAGGTAATTTTTGTCCTTCTTCTACCCCAAGTTCAGCCCCTATGCAGCTAAACAGTCACAGGGATCCAGTAGTTTATATTTTTAACTCAATTGCACTGAGAGGCTGCAGCGATTTATAGGAAATATTACTATGCTGTGGAGCAAAGGAAACAGATGGATACCGGGGCATGGGTCATCCAGATCTACAGCTGCCAGAATGTAATCCTGCAGTTTGGGCACAAACACTTGGGCAGTTCAAACCTTACAAGTAATGAGGGTGTCCTTTTGATAAATCAAAATTAAAAACTCTGATGTAGTTTGGTAAAGCACATATTTTCATTTTCTTCAATAGCAAATTGTTGTCAGATTAAACCTTTCCTATAGAAAATTAAATTATCCCACTAATTTCACTTTGCAAAAAACTGGTGTTCACAACTGACAAACAATTAAGTCATGGACATTTTTATATGCAGAACTGTTAAGAAACAGAACTGATTTCTACATATTTTCTAAGGTCCCTTAAAAAAGAGAGAAAAAAATGGTAAAGAAGGAAGAAATTTCAGTTTTGGAGACTGACCTCAGAAGAGCAAGTCATGCATACTGACAACATACTTAGGTTTACAGAATACTTACTGAAAAACATTCTGAAAACCACCTTAATTTTTTTCCTCGAGGATTTCCCGACAATTTTTCCAATTCCTGTTTAATATCCCTGGAAACTTTACCACACAGCAAAGGAGGAGCACCAGATTCCACAGCACGATCTAACACATACAAAGATTTATACATGAAAATTAAAAAAATAATAAACAACGAAAGAAAAAAGAACAGTGATATACAGAAAATTAGAACAACGGTATACACAATTTACTTACCTGTATTGCCAATAATATCATCCCAACATCTATCTGCTAAGATATTTATTGGTAGAGGGTTTATAAGAGGTGTCAATGACCAGAGTCTCACAGTGGAATCACGAGAGCAGGATGCCATAGTAAATGGACGACTAGGATGACATGTTAATCCTAGCAGAGAGGGCATTTAAAAATGCAGTCAAAAAAGTTTATCTAATAACCCATTTGATTAAATTATTTCATAAAATTTAAAACATATTAGAATGCATTTAAATACAGAAATAAAACCAAATTCAAAAATATTACCATATACGTCTGCACCATGATCATAAACTGTGTCCAAACATGTTCCATCTCTTGTGTCCCAGACTCGAATTGTATAATCCCAACTGCCAGATATTAGAAGGTAAGGAATTTCAGGATTCCACATCAGCCCCCGTACTGGAGCTGTATGTCCACTAAGAACATTTATACAAGTGTCCTGTGTATAATCCCATATTCGAACAGTACTGAAACAGGATAAAAAAGACCAATGTCCATCAAATCACCTATAAAAATATCATTATCTCTCTACTTCAGCAACATTCTAAGCCTCAAATTTATCAGAATATTTATTTGCAATATGTTTATAGAAGCTGAAATAGGAGAGGTTGGAGCCAATGCCCTTCAAGTTTACAATGGCATACAAAGTACACCAAAGACCATTCACCAGGGTAAGAAACTATTCCATTGACCACATAATCTTTCAAAAGCTGACAGCCACCCATAACTTACACGTCAGTGAGAGAAAAGAAGTTGGCCATATGTCTGCATATGCAGTAAATTTTTCTGTTAGGACTCTCAAGAGGAAAAAGAAGTAAAGAAAAACAAAGCAAAACTGTAAAACTTATCTTTCCTATGGCTTCAACAGCCCTCTAACAGACCCAGGAATTACAGATCTGCTAGTCTAAGCTCAGGCATTTAAAGAATAACACAATCATCAGGCACAGGCACAGTTAACACGGGTTCAAAAAGGAAAAGTCCTGGTTACCTAATCTGATATCCTTCCATGACAAGGTCACCTGCCCAGTGGATGAAGTGAAGGCGCTGGATGTAGTTTCTCTCAACCTTAGTAAGAGTTCAGAAACCGTACCTGACAGCGTCCTTCTGGACAAGTTCTCCAATGGTGGGATAAGCAGGTTCATGGTGCACTGCGTGAAGGACTGGCTGAACATCAGGGCTCAAAGAATTGTCATGGATGGGGCTACATCTGGCTAGCAACTGGTCATCAGCAGCGCTACTCAAGGTTCAATTCTAGGGCCACTCCTCTTCAATGGATTTTGCTGTCAAGAAGTTTGCTGTGAAGTTCTGTCATGAATCACTACACTATGAACTAACAGATTTTGCTTCAAGCATAAACCTCTAATGGGGAAAGCAATAGAAGCCAATACTCCAAACTTGAGATCCATTACAAAAATATCTTGTATAGTCTGCAGGGAAGTGGCTTAGAATCAGAAAATCCTTCCTCTCGCTTACTGAGGACTGCTCTGCTCTCCCTCAAAAGAGATGTCATCAAAACAACAAAACAGAAGTATCTAGCACTCATTAAAAATTTCTGCAGATTATACTTAAGTATATTTTTGAAAAAAACATCAGTCACTGTGGTGTCCTCCTTGTATTATTCCTCGGAGTAACAGTATCAGTCACTGATCCTACTCTTGAGAAAGCATTTGGAAAGGTTGCACTGCTACAGCAGCTGTGACAATCTTAGATAATGATCCTGCTGCCCAAATACTACATAAAGCTAACAGCAAAGCTACAGCCTGAATTTGAACAAGGTAGAGATTTAGATTATTAGGTATTCATGAAGTTTTTGAAGGTGCAAACACTAGTACAAGTAAATATTTTGAGTTTCTTGAATAGTTCTGCTTAAGGTTGTAAGTTTTCCAGTAGTTCAGAAATACACACCCATCATCAGAGCCACTGCAGAGGATTCCTTCTCTCAGAGGAGACCACCGTACATGAAATACCTTTGCAGTATGCCCTGTAAAAACTTTCAGTGGCTGATCAGAGCTGGTTGCCAAGTAGTAAACACGAACATTTTTATCCTCACAACCAGTAGCTATCATATCTCTGCAAAATATAAATGGCAAAATCTTTAGTTAGAGAGATGATCGATGCTTTTTTTAATTTAAAAATAAATATGATGTGTAATTTGCAATTTACTTCAAAAAACAGCATATTTTTGCTTCTTATTTGTCTCTTCAAGAGACAAAGTAAATATTGATAGTCTAATTAAATACACTAAATCAGACAAAAAGTTCTTATGTCATTATTAAGAATTATCTGCAAAATTAATATATATCATAGTGCATTTAGTTGCCTACTACATTTTCAGCTTAGCAGTCATTACAAGGAAGCCAATATAAACCCCTTTTTCCTGGTATTGAATGTCTGCTTTTTTCCCCCCGTTATATATTCAGCTAGAGAATTTTTTTTCTCTCATCAGTATGAAAAGATCTTCCTTTGAAAATTAAGGAAGTTCATGGTGGTCAGTGAGATACACTACTGGGAATATAGAGCTGCTACAGGCATATCCTACTGTGGAACAGACAATTGTAGTGGTTTACTACCACAGTAAAAATCACATTCTAATAACTTTGTGTTTCTTTACTGGCAATCAATTTAAATAGTAAATATTGTCATTTCTTTGGGTTATTTTTTACTTACTTGTTGTTTTGACTCCAATCACAGCCGAACACTGCAGCTGGATGTTTATACTTGTGAAGAACATTGCCATCAATGGTTCGAATAATACTGAAACCAATTATAATGCAATATAATAAGGAAAAAAACATTCTGAGTAGGCTATCCAAAATTCAGGTTTATTCTGTGCGAATACGCCAGATAGCAAAAAGATATACAGAAAGAATATGAGAAATAGCCATAAACAATATCAACCCCTCAACTACAAGGCTAACTATGTATTTCCCAAGAAAACACTTCAGTCCATGTTCCTTCAGAAGGCCTATAAAGATATCCACTGTAGTACCTCCTTCTTGAAAAGATCCTCATAGCCCAAAATCAAAGTTGTAGTTATGGCTTTAAGGTACAAATAGATCTTTAGGAATTAAAAAAAAAAAAAGAGAAAGGAAAGGAAGAAAGAAAAAGAAAGAAAGAAAAAGAAAGAAAGAAAGAAAGAAAGAGAAAGAAAGAGAAAGAAAGAAAAAGAAAGAGAAAGAAAAAGAAAGAGAAAGAAAGAAAGAGAAAGAAAGAAAGAGAAAGAAAGAAAGAGAAAGAAAGAAAGAGAAAGAAAGAAAGAAAGAGAAAGAAAGAAAGAGAAAGAAAGAAAGAGAAAGAAAGAAAGAGAAAGAAAGAAAGAAAGAGAAAGAAAGAAAGAGAAAGAAAGAAAAAGAAAAAGAAAGAAAGAAAAAGAAAGAAAGAAAAAGAAAGAAAAAGTTGATTGTTTTCTAAAATTTATGCCCATTATGCTTGAGCTGGAATGACACAGGTAGCAGAGGAGACTAATGAGGAAGAATTTTTAAAATGTACTAAAACATAATATATGCAAAATTGGTCTCAATGGACATTCACACATTTTTAGAAATAAGGTATTATACTCCCGTAATAGTACAATTGTAATTACTTTGTTCTAAAATAGTCCTTGAAAGAACAAACTTAAAAATTTTAAAAATTAAAAAAAATAAAGTTGGATAGCTTTTGAAAAGTGTTCCCAACAGACAAGAATGATAGGATATTCTTGGCTAAATAAAATAAAAATTCAGTTTCACTATCAGAGTGCCTTAAACACTACTCCTTTTGCAAAAGTTTTCTTTTTCTTAAAATCATGAAAAACATACCCTAAGAAGTACAGAATACTAATATAATTCAAGTTTTGTTCAGTAAAAAAAGTTTTAACATTAATCACTGACAGTACTGTCAAAATGTACGGACTTGAGAAGTGCATTTAGCAATTTTTTTTTCTTCCAATAACACTCACCAAAATCCATCACTGCTGCAGGTTGCTATTCTTTTGGAATCTTTATGACTCCAGGCAATGCAGAAGATTCCATTCTTTCCATGCTTCAAAAAATGCAAAATACCTATCAATAAGAAATAATTCACCCCTTTTTCTCTCATCTATTGACTCTTATTTTATTTTATTCTACTATGGGCTTCAGCCCTTTTCTTCCAGTAAAGTATACTGTACAAAACCACACTATAGTGAGTACCCAATACATCTGGGATATTTGAAAAATCAAGTCCAAAAAATTGGGACTACGGAGATGGACAGTAAAAACTGCTATACTTGCCAGGATCTAAGAGGCAAAACTGGGTCAAGCTGAAGAATAAGCAATCCATAACTCTATAAACCTGAAGCTTAAATAAAGAACACTATGAGCAATCAAGAGGGACCTCTGGGTCTTTGGACAACTGGACAAGGGATTTGAAGCATAAGTTGTGTTCTCTTCTGCCCTGCCAGTTGCAGGGAATGATGGGCAAAGAAAGAGGAAAATCATGCCAGATGAACATCCAGCTTTGAGACTTGTGTTACCAGCAGAATTTTGGGAGTTTTGATCGTGGGTCAGTTTATACAACACCAATCCTGCTGGCAACAAATGGGGTCCACCTGTCTCAAAGAGGAAAAAAGATCTTAGCTCAGGAGTTAGTGGGGCTCATTGAGAGAGCTTTAAACTAGATTGGAAAGAGGACAGGGACAGGCTTGCCAAAGAGAAGGTGTAGGGAAGGGGACAACAATAGCAACCCCCTAGCATAAGGAGGCCCAAGAGGGAATACCTGGAGCAAGCACAAGCAGCCAAAGACATAACCACTAGACAGGACTATGGGATGTCCCTTTGCACCCCCACGGGGATACTGATGCAATCAAATACTCTATAAAGTGCCTGTACACCACCACACAAAGTATGGGGAACAAACAGGCTGAACTAGAGATCTGTGAGCAGTCACAGCCCTCAAATTATGGAGACATAGGGGGATAGCTTGCATGACTGGAATATTGTCATGAAGGGCTACACAATGTTTTGGAAAGACAGACCAGGAATGCACAGTGGTGGAATTGCCCCCTGTGTGAGACAACACTTAGAATGTATCAAGCTCTGTCTTGGGGTGGATGATGTGCAAGTTGAGATCAGGACAAAAGAGAGACTAGTAAGGGTGAGACTGTTGTGGGTGCTTGCTACAGGCCATCTGATCAGGAGGAGGAAGCAGATAAAGCCTTCTACAGGCAGCTAGAAGCAGTCTCAAAGTCACAGACCCTGGTTCTTGTGGGGGACTTCAACTAACCTGACATCTGCTGAAGAAGCAACACAGCAAAGCACAAACAGTCCAGGAGCTTCCTGAAGTGTTGATGGCAACTTCCTGTCACAGGTAGTGGAGGATCCCACAAAGAATGGTGTGCTAATACTAACAAACAGGGAAGGCCTTGAAGGGCATGTGAAGGTTGGAGGCAGCCTTGGCTATAGTGACCACGAGATTGCAGAGTTCACTATCAGGCAAGGAAGAAGCAGGGCAGCAAGTAAGATACAGTCATGGACTTCATGAGAGCTAACTATTGCCTCTTCAGGGATTTTCTTTGAAAAATCCCATTGGAACAGGCCCTGCAGAAAAGAGGGGTCCAAGAGATCTGGCTGATATTCAAGGATCACTTCCTCCAGGTTCAAGAATGATGCATTCCAATGAGCAAGAAATTGGGTAAAGGGGGTAAGAGACCTGTGTGGATGAACAAAGAATTCCTGTCATTACTCAAGCGTAAGCAGGAAATACACGGGAGATGGAAGCAGGGTCAGGCCACTTGGAATGAATATAGAGGTTGTCAGAGTAAGTAGAAATGAGATAAGGAAGGCCAAGGGCCATCTGGAACTAAATCTGACCAAGGATGTCAAGGAAAACAACAAGGGCTTCTTTAAATAACAACCAATAACAAAAGGAAATCAAAGGGTAATGTAGGCCCATTACTAAATGGAGGGGAGAAACTGGTAACAGAGAACACAGAGAAGGCAGAGATATTGAATACCTTGTTTGCATCGGCCTTCACTGACAAGACCAGCCCTTGGGAATGGGACCAGCATAAAAGAATGTTGCAAAGAAGGCTTTCCCTTGGTCAAGGAGAATTGGGTTAGAGAACCCAGACTAACTTGACATACACGAGTCCAAGTACCCTGACAGAATGCAACTCCAAGTCCTGAGAGAGCTGGTGGACACCACAGTGAGGCCACTCATGATCATCTTTGAAAAGTTGTGGCTATCAGGAGAGGTGCTGGCAGAGGACTGGAAGAAAGTAAATGTCACCCCGGTCTTCAAAAAGGAAAAGAAGGAGGATCCAGGGAACTATCAGCTAATTAGCCTCACCTCAATCCCTGGAAAGGTGATGGAGCGCCTCATTCTGTAGGCCACCTCTATCCACGTGGCCGACAAGAAAGCGATCAGGAGAAGTCAGCATGGATTCATTAAAGGAAACCATGCTTGAACAACCTGATTGCCTTCTACAATGAAACAACTGCCTGGATGGATGCGGGGACAGCAGTGCATATTGTCTACCTCAACTTCAGCACGGCTTCCAACACCATCTCTCACAACATTCTCAGAGGCAAACTCAGTGTGGACAGTGGATGAGTGGACAGTGAGGTGGGTTGAGAACTGGCTAAACTGCAGATCTCAGAAGGTTGTAATCAGTGGCACGGGGTCTACTTGTAGGCCTGTCACTAGTGGTGTCCCCCAAGTTTCAATACTGGGTCCAGTATTGTTTAACTTATTCATCAATGATTTGGATGAAGGGGCAGATGCCTCTTCAGCAAGTTCACAGATGCTGCAAAGCTGGGAGGAGTGGCCAATACCCCAGGGTGTGGTATAGCCCTTTAGAGGGACCTCAATAGGCTGGAGAGATGGGCAGAGAAGAACCTACTAAAGTACAACATGGGCAAAGCAGGGTGCTGCACCTGGGGAGGAATAACTCCATGCACCAGTATTGGTTGGGGGTTGACCTGCTGGAAAGCAGCTCTGCAGAGAAAGACCTGGGGGTCCTGGTGGATAACAAGTTGTCCATGAGCCAAGAATGTGCCCTTGTGGTCAGGAAGGCCAGTGGTATCCTGGGGTGCATTAGGAAGAGCATTGCCAGCAGGTTGAAGGAGGTGGTGGTCCTGCCTCTCTAGTCAGCCCTAGTGAGGCCATATCTGGAGTGCTGTGTCAAGTTCTGAGCTTCTCAGTACAAGAGAGTCATGGAGCACCTGGAGCAGGTCCAGAGGAGGGCAACAAAGATGATTAAGAGACCAGAGTATCTCTCTTATGAGGAAAGGCTGAGAGATCTGGGCCTGTTCAGCCTTGAGAAGACATGACTGAGACAGAACCACATCAATGTATACAAATATCTGAAGTGAGGGTCTCAAGAGGATGAAGCCAGGCTCTTCTAAATGGTGCTAAGCAATAGGACAAAAGGCAACAGGCAGAAACTGATGAACAGGAAGTTCCACCTGAATACAAGGAAAAACTTCCCTGTGTGGGTGACTAAGCACTGGAACAGATTGCCCAGAGAGGTTGCAGAGTCTCCCTCACTGGACATATTCAAGAACCATCTGGACACAAGCTGTGCAACGTGCTCCAGGACAACCCTACTTGAGCAGAGAGGTTGGACCAGATGACACACACTGTGGTCCTTTTCCAACCTTACTCATTCTATGATTCTGAATAAGGTTAGTTACTTATTGGAATAATGAAGTGAGTGGGCATGAAAAATTGTGGTATGCGAAAACTTAAATGGGATGTGTATCAGGGTCAGCGTTACATAAAAGATGCTTAGTAGCACAAATGCAAAGATCAGTGTTAGAATCCCAGAACCCCTGAATGTATTTGTTTTCTGCTCATGCCTCTCCCCACACCTCTACCTCTCTTCTTAAAGAGCATCCCTTGCACACTGATGCAGACACCACAGTTATGTCTGTATAATCTGAAGATTACAGTTATATACTAAGAATACACAAAATAGAGTAGAATACTACAACATAGTATTACAACAGCTCCTTTATGCCAATAAAAATTGTGCTACTGTTTCGGGACTTAAAAATGCCTGGATAGATTTCAGGTAATACAAGGCAAGATTCTAAATGAGGCATACTGTTTAGTGTGCTGCAAAATGGAGCTTTATTGATCTAGACTTCAGGGACTGAAAGCCTTATGTTTAAAAATACAGAACATAATTTGCATTTTGATGCCGAGTCTATAAGTCCATATACACTGACACATTTAAGAAGGAATCAGTATTGCTTTTGCTGTGTATCCCTACAGGACCAATTTTAATATAATGGAGACCATGTGGTGCTTCATCATTCTCATGTCACAAATCCAGTCTGAGGAAATAAAATACTTCTGCCACACAGGTAAACTGGCATTCACGTAATTCTATAGATTTTTATATTCTAGCACCTTTTAAAAACATATGAACTTTGACACATCTATTTATTGACACTAGAGGAAATGACTAATTTACATTTTATATAGACAAAAAGAATAATCTCATTTTACCTCACTGAATCTGGTTATCATTTTGCCTTTTCGAACATCCCAGATGAAGGCACCATTTCTGGATGTTGCCCCTGCTATGCAGTTCAGATCTCCTTTAAAGAGAGATATTTGTAAAGTGTCTTGATAATTATAAGATCGCAATATTGTTTGTGTTTATACTTTAAATTGAAGAAATGAAATATCAACAGGAGACATCAATGGCACATAAACATGAGTTCTCCATAGTTTAAGGTCAGCATTTGCTACTAAGTCACAAATATCAATTTCAGAAAAAGCCTGACCTGTTTTTCTACATTCGTTTTGAGGAAAGGCAAAAGAGAAGTTGTATTGCTGTAAAAAGTATTCTCAATGCCTTGCCCTTAAAAACATAGTGACCATGATGCATATGACTCAAACTAGAAAAGAGATACAATCTCAGTGTTTCAACCTTAAAGTTGTAGCAACTAGAACACTTTCCTTTAAAGGAAGATCTACTTCCCTATTTACTAAGACAAATCATAAAAATGTGACAGAACATCTAACAGTAGTTTTCTTAATCTTGCACCACTGCAGCACGCGACCCCACAAGAACGTACCTGAATCTGTAACTACACTCTACAGCGTGGAAAATCTGAATACGTAACTCCACAGTGAGAACCTGAAAACTGAATTCAGGCCTAATCTAAAAGCCACCAAATTCTCCTCACCACAGTGACCCTCTATCCCAATTTAGCTATACTTTTCATAAATGGCATATTTATAGGAAAATTTTGACTGTTATTTTATTCCAAGCTTCAGAGGCAGAAAAGACAACCTATGCAGGAGTATAGCACGGTAAATATATAAAATGGGAAGAGATTCAGGTAGGAGGATGAGAAAAGGGGAAAAAAAAGAAAAAAGAGAATCACTTTTTCCAAAGACCTTCTGAGACTAAATACAAATGGTGATATGTAATGGATTATATATTAGGGATAAAGTACAAGGCAGAGAGGAAATTTCTAAGAGTAAGGGATGTGAAAGAAGAGGCAAAAGTTCCAGCCAGGAGGGACATGAGCTTTTGGACAGGACAGTAAGGAATGGAGTCAAAGCACATGCTTCCAATTAGCTTAAATGTACTCTTTGTGGGTGTTTTTAATTTTGTTTGGGGGGGGGGTGTTTTGTTTTTTGGGTTTTTTTTAAGAAAACCACTTCCCTTCAGTGAATAAACTATTCCCTCAGCTTGAGATACTACTACAAGCTGAATTAAAATTTCAAAACAAAATAACCAAACATAAACACCATATTTCTTACTGCCATAATTTCCATATAGCAAGACAAATTATCTATAAGACACTCCCTGAAATGAAAAAAGTGCAAATTCATTTCACATATGCAGACTACATTAAGCTTCCCATCACAATATTTCTTTTCCTGTCAGATATTATTTCTTAGAGTTTAAAAGCCCAGGAGAGAACAGCAGTGAGATGAATTACTTAGATTTTTTAAAAAACACATCTCCTGGCCAATGAAATAGAATACAAGAAAGTCAACCTATCATTAACTATTGACATTAGTAACTATTAGTAGTATATTCCCAGGTACACTGAAGAGAGTTCCAGTACAGTTTTGAAAAGAAAACTTCCTACTGACTTCAGTGATTTCTCTAAGAAAAAGTAGATGCTTTGCAGAAAAGGCACTTCCTATTCTAATAAGGTGAAAGCAGAGCTCTTCGGTGATTAGAATCCTACACAAAGAAGGAAGAGAAAGAACTAAAGACGTATGTTCCACTTTTTAGGACAAAATATAATATGAACTTTAAGTAGCTGCTTCCCATGCAAAGAAAGTCTTTTCGACGTTTGTGTAATGCAATGTTAGAAAGGCTCTAGAGATTTTCCTTCCTCCTTTCTGACTGAGAAATACTGGGATCATTACTCATAAGGTAAAGCCTCAGCAAGATCTGAAACATTGAATTCTACTGGTTTCATATATAATTTAGTTTTGTTTAAACCTTATAAGATACCCTTCTATCTGAAACTAATACTTTTATATGACAAATTCTACAGTCAATGCTAATTCAAAGAACATTTAGACATAAAGTAAAATATTCTTACCTGGAGCCCAAGAAATGGAATAAATAACCCCCTCATTACCAGGAGATGTATAAACCGCTGATAAAGTATTAATGTCCCAAACTTTTATTGTGCCATCAAATGAAGCTGTAGCAAGAAGATCAGGGTTATCAGGTTTGAATTTGCAATCAAAGATGGTCTCAACATGTCCCTTAAATGAAACAAATATTTAATCCATTTTTATTACATTTGATTTTTTAATAAGACTAACTCTAGATCAAACTCTAAATACATTGTATTTAATTGACCTGTCAGGTCAATTAAGAGTTCCAAAAAACCTGTATATTATGGCTCATCAGTCAAAATTAAAAGTCATAAAATAGCTTAGACTATAACAGTACTCTCTTTCAGAGATCATTATTAAAGACAGAAAAATTATTTCCTGAAACAACAGGGCACACAACACCAGGAACTTGTTAACAATTGCTGTTGGAACTGAGTTGCTAAAAAAACAGAGTAAAAAAAAAACAAAACAAAAAAAGAAAAAATAGTTAATTTTTAAAAACAGAATTAATGTTGCCCTTTTGTTATAAACTATGTGACTGCAAAATAAAGCTCTGTATGTTAAACATGTTCTACAAGTTGTCTAGTATCCCACTGAGTCTATGGTCTATTGTAGTTTAAATTTCAATGCATTAGCAACTCCACATGTCAGTTGCTTGTTTTCTAAGACATGCACTTGTAGAATTTAAGTTGGCAAATATATGAAATATGGTTAATATGTAAGAATTTTTTTTAAGCCTCAGTTGCTTTACAGGACCAAACCCATTAAAAATGGAAAAAGAACAGCAACCAACAGCCTCTATTCAAACACATACAGGATTACAGCTGAAATTTTTTTTTTCCAAATGAAAAGGGAACTTGTAAAGAAGAAAAGAGACAAATCCTTAAGAATAACCAAGCACCCTGTGAAGAAGAGGCTCATCTAATATGTGATAAACCCAATTCTGAATTTCAGCTTCAACAAAAATTTAATAATTCAGTCTTTGTAATTTTCAACTGAGTGAACTCACCATATATCCCTCTGATTTGACTAGAATTCTTTTTCTGAATTATAGAAAACCTTCCAGACCTTCTGAGAAGGCCATCAAATTAAAATTTTAGTTAAAAAAAACCAAAACAAACCACAAAAAAACCCCAAAGTCCTTAAATCTTTATTTCTGGATGAAAACAAACTGCCAGAATACTGCCAACAGGATTCAGTCCTTTGCAATAAAGAATTATTTTCAACTTCAGAACTGTCATTTGTTTCCTAGAAATTTAGAGTCTTTTTGATAGAAACTGCTGTGAAGACTTCTTTCTCCATTTTTTTCCTGTTAGAAGAAAGTGTGTAAGCCAAATAAACTCTCATTTCAAAGACGGATGAACCATACCAAATCTCTAAGGAAATCCCACTTTTTGGCTCCCATGTCGTAAAGCCCCACTCCACCATCCATAAAACAACAGACGGTGTGACCAGGAGGAAGAGAAAATGCTTGGTTTTGGGTTAAAGTTGGAGGAGGAACAGCCTCACTTGTTGAAGATGTATGATGATTTTTATTAGGATACTGTGATGAACGTGCTTAACAAAATAAAGCAAAAGACAGAAATAGAGAAGATTATTTCTTATTTCAATAATAAGTAACAATTATAAAGAGTAAAATGCTTTGTATTCCAATGAGATTTAAAAATAAAGAAATGGAGAATTCCTGTATGAAGCCTGGTTTGCTAAAGAAGGATCTTATAAAGTGCTTGATCCTTTATGCATTTGTCTAGTCCACTAGCAGCAGAGGGTACTTGGTTTAATTAAGAACTACAGAGCTGTCCAAACTTAAGAGATTGACTTGGACATAACAAGACTCGTAAACAAGATTTTCTTAACTGGCAGCCACTACAATGAATAACAATCAAAATTACACTTACACTTTTTCTTTGGAGGAGAACTTAGCACATGCAAACCATGGAAACCCGTTTGCTTCAATTTAAAATTATCTATAGGTGTTGTACGTGAAACATTCCAAACACGTAACACACCAACCTGAGAATCTGAAGTTTAAAAAAAAAACACAAAAAACAAAACAGAACACAGAGATATGTGGTTTAAGGCTTGATTTATGCAAAAATACAACAGTGAATTAAACTTCAAATCCTAAGGAGAATTTTATAAGCAGGCACTGTCATCTCCATAGAATGACAGAATAATTAGGGTTGGAAGGGACCTGTGGAGATCATCTAATGGAACCCCCATAGTAATATTCTATTTATCTTCCATTTACCTCTGTGGCGATATCACATTAACAACAATAATTATTAATATTAGCTATTTAAACATAGATAAATTCTACGGAACCTTTTTCATAAAATATTCTCACTGTCTCAGTTTCCTTATTCATTAGTTCAACTTGAGCAGTAAGGTCTATGGTGTAGAAAAGAGAAAAGAAATAGATTCTTTTCTTTTTTCTTAATTTTTAAATCTTCAAAGTGACATCCATTAGTATAACACATTTTTATTCCTATTCCCAAAGTAACTCAAATATTTGTTGCTAAAGTGTGCATGAGAAAAGTATTATTTAGTATTAAAAAAAGCAGAAAGTCACTTGCTTATGCACCCAACAAATTTAAAACAAGTAAAAACTGCTCAGTGTAGTTTTCTATTATTTTCCAGTTTTATATTGGTGTCTTGTATGCTTGTATGTAGAAATGTTAAGAAAAAGAAAGATCACACTTGGAGTATCAATTTTGAAGATTTAGTCCTGTATTTATTACCTTTGTATAAGTCAGGAAATAAAAGTCTTACCTCCAGTTATAAACATTCCAGGTGCACTGGAAACCCAGGCTAAACACTGAACAGATGCTGCTGCACTGGGAAAACTAAAAGTTGTGATACAGGACAGAGATTCAGAATCAACTAGTCGAATACCATTATGTAAATTAGCAACAAGAAGGTAGTCAGTTGACAAAGGGTCCCACTCCAGTGCTGTAACTGGATCCTCTTCATCTGTTCCTTCAAGAGACTCTGGTCTTAAGACATGTTTCTGATTTTTAGAACCTTTAAGTGCACAAGAAAACAGATTATTTAAAAATGAAATTAAGTACATCCTTTCAATAGTTACAAGGTTCACAAACATAATTCTTTCTCTCTCCTTGAAATTTTCACTACCTTGCTCTACTGGCTGTACCAGTGAAATTAATGAAGCTGGTTTTGCAGTATTTGACTGAAAGCAGTTCTAGTTCCATTTTATTTTTAATACAGCAGAAAACAGAAACAGCTGTCAGGCTTATTAACACAATTTTATAAGAAAGTATGTTAAAACATATACATTGTTCTAACAATTTCCAGGAGTAAAGGCCTACAGCACAGCCTGAAATACAATCATTTGAGTGTAAGTAACTCTGCACACCACAGCAAATACAGGCAAAATAAAGGTAGTATGAACTAGAACAAAACTGTGGCAGTCAAAAAAGTTTTTATGAACAACTGCCTTTAGACTTTTTTCTTCCACAAAACTATGTGTGCAATTATGAAGCATTTATTGATTCTGTAGCCAAAACAGGCCATTAAGTATCTAATTTGACACCTGCAAAAAAGAAGACATATTTCACTTCATGATCCATACTATCAAGAACCATACTTTTTTAACGTATTTATTTTCCGCTTTTTTATTTTTACAAAGAGATGGATCTTAGTCCTATGTCCAGTCCAAATGAAACAGAGCTGTATTTTTGAAGTTGTGATCTTGTACTAAAAAAAAAACAAAACTAATTTTGTACCCCTTTTCTAGAAATAAGGGATTGACATCTTCCATTATTCAGCTCCAATCTAATTTTCAATTTTGGTACTGGAGACTACAATTAATTTTTCATATTATGATAACTGTCAGGACCTACCAATATCCTTAATAACTGATGTAGAACAAAGCCTATTCTGATACAGGCTAAATAAAAGCTGAAAAGCTTTTGTTCACTAGGGAACATTCTGAATACTAAAATAGCTCTCAGCATGATTTTCTAGGGAAAATGTAGTGGTGCACATTCTGTATCAGGTAACTTTATAAAATCAGTTACCAAAAATGGGGAAATAATTTAAGATTGCACAACAACTAACACCACAAACTGATTTCTCCGTTCCACTTTTTTTCTTTGCTCTTCTGAAGCCTTGGGAATAACATCAGAAATATGATCAGATAACTGCTTTAATTTGCCAAAAATTTTAGGATTCTCACTTTTTTAAACAATATTCTCTCCTTACACTTCAGTTCACATTTTTGGTTGACTGAAAACAACACTGAAATGAAAAACAAGAACTGACGACAAAGCAGAACTGTCATTTTTCAGTTAGCTATACAAGAACTAAAAGCAAAAAGTCTTTGAATGATCAAAGCCAGCCATGTTCAAACACTTCAGTCTCAAGAAAGCATAATTAACTGCTGGGAGAGTAAGAATGTCTAGGTGTTATTCAGTTTTACCTGTGCTTCACAAAAGAATCCAAAAGGAAACCTCCTGAAAATCCTAACTGTTGAATTTTAATTTTCATTAAGAGAAGACATCAGCACTATAAATCATGCAACTGAGTCACAGGTCATTTAAACAAGCTGGGCTTATTTTGAGAACAAATGAAAGGTTAAATAGTACAGAATATTTGGTTCTATATGACTGCATTGTACTCCTCTAAAAATTAGGTACTAATCTGTAATTGCTAAATATTTTTTCTTCGCACTAAATGTTCTGCTACATTAATGGATAGTCTAGAGTTAATAAAAAAGAAAATACAGTCATGAGAGAAAAATTTTAAGTAGGTAACAATAATTAAAAAAACGTGTAGTCTGCTAATTATGCAGCAACGAGTCACGCTAAAATAGAAATACTAGACCCTTCAGTGAGTCAATCACACTGAACTTTGAAGCAATCAACCAGAACTTGTGGATGTTCAGGTTCTCTCATGATAGCATTTTGTAGGATATCTACAAAAGGACCGAAACCTTTAAAAGTAAGGAATTTTGTCAAATTTATTTCACTTGGTGACAAACTAAGTTCTGATCCAATGACAACTCATTTTACATGAGGTAGACGAGGGTTGAACTTCAGACTCAAAGCAAAAAAGTTAGAGCTCTATTCTTTACTGTAAAGTACCAATTTTTTGTGTCACCCATGTCCGCCCCTCTACTTTCTTTTTTTTTAAATAGAGGGCCTATATTCACCCTACTGATTTCACTTTCTTCAGTGTATTGATACTTTTTAGAAGCCACTAGTTAAAAAAGTCAGACAAATTTTGACTATAAACTGTAAACTAGAAACCCACAGTTAATAAAATAGCTAACTTGGATACGCCTATGTTTTCAAGTATATCTGACTGTTAAGACAGATATTAAAGGAATTTATGAAAGTCTAATCACAGTAATGGTACTTCTATTTTATTATTCTGTTACAATCTATTTTTCAGTATTACCTAGTTTTGAAACATATTTTAATGAATTTATCTGTTCACCAAAATTTTCATGATCTATTCTCAAACATATCTATGTGTTTTCACCTAAACAAATTCTTTGTCTTTTTCTAGTAGTATAAAGAAAGCAGGTTAAAAGAAAACTAATACTGGTCTGCATCCTTTCAAAATCATTATGATGGCTCCAATGTCATTTGCTTAATTACAAGAATGTAAAGAAGGAGATCCCAAATCTTCGTTCGCGAAGCCTGGCCATGATGAAAGAAGGAGATGTAAAGAAAATGCTCTACATTCTATAACTAAGAAAACATATTTTTGTGATATGGGAGGAGTAGGAATACTATGAATTATAATCAAGTTTTATGTATGTACCCACATTATAAAATATTTATTAAAGAAGTGCAGAATTACACGCATATACAGAAACAAGCGATATATAGATAAAAAATAAATATTTTACCATATTATTTTTTACCTGGCTGAAAAATAGATAGGCTTCCATCAGTATGTCCAAACACCACTTTTCCTTTTTTCTTTGGATGCCATCTAAACAGACTGATATCTGACAAGAAACTATGTGCTTCTCTATGTACAGTTACCCCGCTGTCAGGTCCTGAGATAGTCCAAATGTACAACGGCCCTCTGTGGGACACAAATGCAACTGCATCACCTGCATTCCAACACCAGCTAAGTGATGAAGGAATTCCTGAAACATACAGGTAAACCTTATAAGAACCAGGATATGAAATTCAGTGTAGTATTCCTTAACGCAGAATCAGCAATTGTCTTGAAAAATTGTAGAAATAATTGTTCTACATAAAAATTACTAGACTGAAATTTAGACATCTCATGCTATAAAAGTAAATTACACATTTCCATAGGCACAAAGTATAATTATCTCCCAAATTACTGTAATACTACTTCGATGGACTGTATTTTATGGTATCCGTACTTCATTAGTGCCAAAGAGAATCACACTTATGAAAGAGGATAAGCTTGATCCTGTAAACAATACTTTCATTCATTCAGAATCCCTTCACCACTATGTTTTACTGTAAGCTATTTGCTACTAAGCTAGTAATATATTGAGAACTTCAAAATGCCTATTTTTGCAATAAAATTCAGAGATAAATATAACAGAGACAGATATTTGTGACAAAATTGGAAAGCCAGCTCTGTAATCTAACGGAACTCTTGATAGCTTCCTTCTGGATATGTGACAATTCTAATTCAGTTGCATTACACTTAACTGTAGGCATTTCAGTTTAGGAATTTTGACCTTAACATCTCCAACCCTCATTATCTCCATAGCTTAATAATGTGTGCCTGAAGGAATAAATGATGGTAAGAAAAACTCCTCAAGTTGAAAATTTAAAATTGTATTTAGATATTTTCATATGGCAACATCAAAGAGTGTCAAAGAGGCATTAATAGGAAGTTTAAACATATTATCCTAAAAGTAAATTAGTTTTTAAAAAGATTAAAATAATAACAATTCTTTCATGTGTAGTCATTGGCTGAAGTAGATTTTTAAACAAGCAATGTATTGAAAAATAAGTGTCAGCTTTTATATTAATGCATAAACTGATACAATATTTCTTTTAGAATAAATGAAATCAGTCTGGGTTTTTCTTTTGCAGGATATGCAAGATGCAAAGTTTTCACAGGTATCCTAAAATACTCAGGAGAGAACAGAGAAGGGAGTCCCAAAACAGCTTACTAGATCCTGAGATTCTGACTGTTCTTAGGTTGCACTCATTTTCCAAGAATGCAAATGTAAGAGTCAAGAACACCTGATGAGATTGACTGTAAGAACAGAAATGCAGGTCCTGGTTTTGACTAAAGGGAATAAATCAGAACTGGGCAGAGAGAGGTAACTGTAGACACAGATGTTTAACCCCCCAGACCTGTAACACAATCTCCAAATCAGCAGTTTCAAGTCCTGAGAGAAGATTCAGGTAGACAAGCTTTAGGGTATTTAAACAAAAGCTGTTTTTCAAATTCACTAATAATTTATACTTGAATCTGTTAAGACCACATTTTATTTGCTTTCACTTAGGTAAAGTTATCATGAAAACACACAAGTTTAAAAATGTAGCTATTTATCCTTTTATACAGATGAAAATACTGTGCTGGGTTTTTTTTCCTGCCCAACAAGAAATCACTAACAAAGTTAATTCTTGAATTGTTCAAGTACTTTAGAAAAAAGAATAACCTCTTTCTTTACCACTTACAAGATTGGTTCACAGCAATTAATTCACACTATCATTACTTTCTAAAATTGACTGCAACAAATCTGTCAAGAATATTGTTTTGGGCAATTGTTAAACCTCTGGCCTAACAACTGCTTAGAGTTTTCACTGTATCAAGTATTTCTCAACACCCCTGGATTAAAAAGCTGTATGGATCAAATATCTCCTTGTCTGAAATACCTTTTGTATTGTCCAGCTTGGCCACAACTTTCTGTTCATTCACATTCCAAATAATCACTAAACTATCTGCACTGGCACTTGCAAACACGTCAGGGTTGTGGGGACACCAAGATATGGCTGTGATTGTCTTCTTATGCTCAGACATAATTGCATGGAGCTTGAACTCATTGTATCGGTGATCCAGCTAAACAAATAATAAAAGGCATTTTAGAAATACGTTTTTTGTAAACTCACTTTACATACTATTGGGTTGGAGATTAGTTTATATAACAGTATTAGACTTACAGATGAAGTGGATTTAACAATTGTCAGTGCCTTGCATCTGAATAAATTAAAATCTCATACATTTGATAGAAAAGTTGTCAAATATCCAATTAGCTCAATCACTGTATTAACAGTCTATCTTCTTGTCTCTTATAAACTATTAAATTTCATTAATAACTTTATTCAAACAATCCTAAAATGCTTTATTTATAGGCATGGTAGCAACCATTTAGTAATCTCCAAAGAGTTAAACAGGATAGAATATGAAAATGAGTTTGAAATCCTTCTCGTTTTTTTAATCATACTCATTTTTTCATACAGTTAAAAACTAAAAAGAGAAAAAAAAAATCACATGCCCAAACATGACACAGGAAATTTTGTTTATTTTAATCCTACAAGCGGTATAACTCTTGAAGTTAAAGTGTATCCTTTATTTCCTTACATATTTCTCATTCTGAAAATTCCACATCACAGCATTTCTATTTTTTAGTAACCACAAACTTCAGAAGACCGCAGTTCTGAGCAGTTTAAGTTACAAATCAAATAAAGGTGGCCCACAACTCTGGAATCCACAACTTCGAAGCATTTGATCCACTGTGCACAGGACTATTTTTATACTACAGCTTCAAATGAAACTGCAGAATTGCTTTATTTCTCTCTCAGAACACATTTTTCTGTTGCTGCACTTCATTCATCTCAAGTGTTTGCTGGATTGTGGGTCTGCCTTTTAAAAATAACTCTTGACACATACAACTTTAGGGCTATCTTGAATGGAAGACTGAGCTTTACATAGACATCTTCTCAGCAGCTACCATACTTCCAAAAGAATTGCAGAAACATTTATTAAAAGGGTTCAAAGTGAGATCAACAACAATGTAAAAACATAACTAGTCTGATAAACAAGGATAATCTTACCTGATAAATATAAATAGCAAGGGTAGCACAGTAGGCAAATCTGTCCCCGCTAGCAGCACATATATCCTTGTTCCATGGTTGACATCCAGCAGCTAAAAGTCCCACTTGTTTAACCTGTGACATTTTTGCCTTTAAAACAGAAATTCATTAGACTACAAGAAGACAGAATTTTAAAGAAGAGAATAATACTTCTCTGTTCCCATAATATCTACCTTAAAAATATAACTAGCTTGAGATACAAAAGAATGTATCCAAAATAAAGTCAAGCAGATGTTTAGAGGCTTCAGTACTACAGAAGAAAGGGTGTTGAATACCATTCACAAGAATCCACTTGGAAGGAAAAAGAAGTGGCGGGGGAGGGGAAGCAGCAAATGAAAACTTGAATAGTTCATGATGTGTACTAGCTGAAACTGTTCATCATTCCCATTTTCTTCTGCGTTCTGGTTCAATACTTTCTATATTACAGTTTAATGCCCTCTCTGCTCTCCCATTCATCTCCCACTGACAGCCAGACAAAATAAACCATATGCTAATAGTTTTAAGTAAAAGCAACATGTGTACAAAGGTCTTCAAAGCACTTGCATAGAACAACTACGCAGTACATATTATCATCATCCTTTATGGAAAGCTTTCTAAATTTTCTTATTAATTACTGTTTAACAAAACAGTTGAAGTAAGCTGTGAAAAAACAAAGGCAAAGCTTAGTGTAACATTTGTATAGCAAACTATGCCTTCAATGTCCAAAACATATTTCATACTACCATCTTGCTCTGAGTGAGACAACTGATTTTAACATAAAAACACAAGAAATACCTTGCTGGGCCAGACCAATTATCTACCTAGCCCACATCTGATTCACGATAATATCAACATGTTACTTAGTAACAGAATGTCTTATTTGGGGCCACATTTATGCTGTGAATGCACTGGGGGACATTATGTAGAAAAACATTACATGGAGGATGACTTCTTTAGGTTAAAGAGCTAAGACTATGATGTTGAAAGACAAGAATCTTACAGATGCTAAAACAGAATTCAACAAGTGTTTATTTCAGAGTAACAACACATTTGTCTTGTAGGATTCTGCAGTAATCTGTATTTTAAAAATCCTGTTAATAGATGAAATTTTGGAATTTTAGATGAAAAATGCTGCTCTGCACAATACCATTATTTCACGGATTTAAGAATTCGTGCTTAATAAGTGTTCTTAAAATTTGATTTTTCAACTAGATTTTTCCTATTCAGGTATATATAAAGAAGTTACATGTATAAAATATTCTGAGCTGTATTACAGAAAGGAATGTACACTTTATTTACTAATATTTGTTGTTTAAAACTTGTTATTATTTCCTGCTCCTTGTAATGAGCTATATACCATTTTACAAAGGGAAGAATTTGCTTTGAAATTCAGTACAATAGTATCTAGAAGAAATGTTGTATGGCATACTAACTTACTCTCCTGTAAGTATCATGCATTAAAGCAGTTTCCTGCTGATCTTTTCAGACATTATAGATTTCTATTAGTAAAAAGACAAAAAAGGGCAGCATAACTGAATATATATAGGTATGATTTCACACATGGGGCATTTTTATACATTTTTCATACTTTTTAAAAAAGCATTTTATTTTGAAATAAGGGATGTACAAGTAATTATACTGAACTCTAAATATACACTGAAAAAAACCCTGTGCATGTAAAAAATGTATACCACACTGGGAAAGCTATCAGAGGATGCCCACAGTTTCCAAGGAGATGAAATGAAGAGGGAGGACAACAAAAACCTTTCTTTTCAACTGGCAGAAGCAGGAACACTCTAAGCCCTCTCCTGTTGCTAAATATAGAAAAAAAAGAAAAAATCAACCTACCACAATAAACTTAAATTTTGTATATCATAAATATTATTTAAAAATAACAATTGAATGGACTATATATATAGCCACAGCTTTATATTAATAGCTTAAAGCCTAATAATCCCTACCTTAGCATAGGTGTCATTTTTTGTAAACCACTTTAGCATTTCCATGTTCATTCAAATACCTTGCTGCTCCCAAAAATGAAAAATATTATTCTGATTGTAGAACATAATCACTTTACTTGACAGATGAAGGAACTAAACCTTGATGTTCACAGAATAATGCAGTTACTACAGGATACAGGAGAAAAGACTGAGCATTGTGTCACACCACACACAAAACGGCAGTGTCAGTAGCCTGGCAACTGCAGCTCTTTAAAAGGCACCATTTTAATTTTAACCTAACTCCTGCTTCTCTGCTTCAGCTGCTCAGTGTATTTCATTGCTTGTTGTATTTCCCAATTGTATTACAATGACACTTGTAGAATAATAATAGCTCTTTAAACCCATCACTTAACACTCTTCCATTATCAATACATATGCTTGCAAGTTTTAAGTATCTGTAACTTTATAACCATCAAGCACAACCAATAACAGATGCTTACATATGCTTTGACTATGGTCCATGTGGTGTATGATCTGTCCAAATGAGTCCACATGCAGTATGGCATGCATACCAATGTGGATATACAATAGCCTTATATTAGTCAATATGCTTCTGTGTATACAAACCCCTAGTTTCTTAACAGCTATATACAGTGAAGTGCCAGTGTCCTCTGCTTCTGTTCATTCTATTGTCACTATCTTCCCATTAAGTTTGTATCTTTTCTTATGTGGAAAGCATGCTGTCGCTCCTGTATTTTTGACATATAAAAATGTTATATCTCATCCAGACTATTGTCCTCACGTAACAATATTTTTGTCGGCATGTCAATGATAATGTAATAATCAAAAAGATCTTTAGTGATACCAAAGTGATGTCTCCCTAAGATACTGGGTATATTTACCCATCTTTGAGGGAAAATCCATTGGGGATGAAAATGTGACCCAGGAACCACAGAGTTTCAAATTCATTACCATATCCAATGGGACCAGTTTGAAGCAAAATCATTTAAGTTTGCTAAAAGCATGAAGTTCTTCAAGGCTACCAAGAAATCTTGGCATGTCTGCAAGACACAGTAGTAAACTTCTGCCTGACAATGCCTGCCTCAATAGCATTGAGTCTCATGTAATAACATAAACATAATTAATTCATTAATAACATATTCATAATTAAACATAATTAATTCTTCCACCAAGCACATTATAGCCATGTTAAGAAATTAAATTATCATAATTTGTCCAGACCCGTGAAATAATGGAGAACTGGAAATATTCTGGTATATATGCAGCTTAAAAGCCAATAGAAAACTTACACCGTGAAAATTTTGACAAAATAAAAAAAATTCTTCCTACTTTGGAATGCTGCAAAATGCTAACGAATTTTCAGTTCTTGATGTGATGTACCAAACTGCAGTTACTAGTGTAGGTCTCTACATAGTCTGATTGAGATGATACACAATACTTCAAGAAACTGCTTCTGGGCAAAAGATGAGCTAAGTCTGACTATATTAATAATGACAGTCACAATGTAAAACAATGTAGAATAATTGTATAGGTTTACACATGTACTGCTCGACAAAGAAGTGCAGCCTGACATATTCTCCAGCAAAATCTAACCAAGGTAGTCTACTACTTGCTAAAGCACCAGATTGGTTGCTAGTTTACCACTAAGCAGTATAGACAATTTGTACACTTCTCTGCAAAAACTGGGAAAGTTTTTTCCACTTTTGTATACAATTCATGGAACACAGGCCATCTACAGCTCCCAGAGAATCAGAAGATTAACCAGAGGCAGGAAGAGGGTGCCTTGGACAAGGCTTTGAACTTCAACAAGATTCTTCAAAAATACCAGAAGCCTCGGCTAGACTATTACAACCAGAATTTGCAGATGACATTTCCTAGCCTATGGTAACCTACCAAGTGTTCAAAATGCGTGCATTCCGTTATCCAGACAATGACTAGGAAAAGAATACTTTGATTTAAAAGCTCATTTTATATGAAAAAGTGTTCTACTAGTGTTCACAGCCATTGTAAACCTCCACAATAAACTTGGACCCAAATCACTACCACAATTTCTTTAACCACAGGATCTCTGGCTTCACAAGGGAAGAGGTTGTGGACCTTTCTCTGAAGTTTGAAACTTGAAATCACAGCCCAAGACTGTATTTCACATAAACAAACACTTGAAATAAAACCCAAATACATTAATCCAAGATAGATACCCTGCTTAGAAAATCTAAGGTAAACAACATTAAAAAACCATAACTTAGAACAAGCCTTACAGAGAGGAGTGTTTTTGACTGTCTTGACTACAGAATTTAGACTAGAATATCCTATTTAACTAGAATATCCTTTATTGTGCAACTTTAACAAATTAATCTGAAGACCAATACTTGGATTCAAAACAAAGCAAGCAGAAATGCTAACAGTTCTAAAAATACATCATCAGGAATGCTAAACTACACATCTAATCAATACAAAACACATCTAGCATCGTCTATGGTCTATATGGTATCAGAAATCTAGTTTGCAAATACTGTGTGTAATACAAAGAGATATATACAACCATGTCTGATCTCAGTATGAAGCATCTAAGAGTTTCCATAAGATTTTGTTCTCATCTTTCAATTCAGAACTCCTCCAATCACCAGAAGATTGCTTTTCTGTGTACAAATTGCCAAGGTAGTTCTGATGTCAGATAAAGTTACCTCTTGGCACATCTCACACCTGAATCCCTGATGACAGCTATTAAAAGGTAACTCCACATCTGAAACATTCATATCACGAGTGACATGTAAAAAAAGAACAGTGAAACAGTATTAAAATCTGCCGGTTTTTTATACTTACAAGCATATAACTGGCATTATCAAGTAATAAACAATAATACAATGAAAGCAGCTGTTTATGTTTCAGTACCATCTCCTGCATTCCAATTTGTTAGCTGACAATATAGTATAGAAACGAAAAAGAAATCACAGAAATAATGGTTCCATAAAGGAGCTTAACACAGTGAAATATATGAGACTTATATTCACTTCCTATCATAAATCTATAAAAGCAGCTGTAGACTAAGCTTGCCTAAGGCATGCAGTTAATAAACATTAAAAAAAAATCAAAGATATCCTGCACATGTTGCTATAGTAACAACTCACCCTCCTCAGAAACATGTTAATAAAAACGTACAGCTATCCAAGGTACAACTAGACACATTTAATATCTCCCAAATATTTTTGTTTTACTCAATTACTGCTTATAACTACTTTAGTTTACTCCATGCAAGCTATATCAATTCCTCCAATACAATAAATTAAATGCTTGATTTTCATCTCATTACATATTAAAGAATTACTAATTAAATTACGCAACCTAAAAATGCAAGTAGGTGGCCATCAAACTTCCAGTACCTTTTATCCAGCTAGCAACATTAATTTTCAAAAATCTCATTTTGGATGTGCTTTACCCAGGATTCAAGACCTCATTAAAACTACTAAAAATCCCTTGCTAGTACCACTATGGAAATATTTTTTGATACTATCAATATAATAAACAGCAGCTTAAAGAAGAAAAATATAAAAGCAGTAAAAGAGAAAATTTTAATTTAAACAATTCTTACTCGTCGTTGTCCTTCATACCAATCGTCTTCATCAAACCAGTGAGAAATATAAGTCATCCAAGCCATGACAGAAGGCACAGTTGAAATAAAAAATACAGAACCTGAACACATATAAGTCCAATGTGTTCTCTGCTAAAATTTACTCAACACTACGACAACCTACTCAAAGAACAGATGTGAACTCTGATATGAATTTACATTAACAAGCTTTAAAATCATAAATCTGAAATACTTGTAGCAGCAATTTAAATGCTCTATGTCTTGGATTTTCAAATGGAAAACAGAAATCAATACTAAAACAATAAACAGATTATATATTTGCGTGTTTTATATTAAAGCAGACTAGTGCTTCAAGCTCTAGATTTTACTGTGTTTCTGAGCTCTGAAAACAAGGTGGTGTTTGAGTCATTCTTATCTGTCTCCTAAAAATTACTTTCTTTCTTTTTTTTTAAATGAAATGTCTGTATGAAATGTTCAGTGCATAAAAGCTTGTATTGAAATGTAAATTATCTTCAGAGTCACGGGGAATGATTTGTTTCGGTTATGTGGGGAGTGGTTTCAATTGGCACAGTAGGAGGGGCCAAAACTATCACGAATGCCAAACATCAGTTTAACATTTTTTTAAAAAGGGGGGAAAAAAAGAAAGAAAAAAAGATCTGCAACTCCATTGTTCGCAGCTGGTAGAGCCTGAAAGGCTCAGCTACAGCCACCAGCACTGGCTGGGAAATATAAAAAGCCCAATTTACCTAATTCATCAAAATGGATCTGTTTCTTTTTTCTCTCTCAGAAGAGTTTCACATATCTGATGGCATTTATTCCTTCCACAGGTAGTATCCTTTGCTAGTATGCTCCCAAGTTTCATATTAAATTTCACAGTGCATTATAGCAATGAAAACAAAAGGTAAAAAGAGGAATAAAGGCTGTACTGCTCACACCACATTTCGGTACTGCAGCAGCACACTTCATCAGCTGTGCTGTTTAGGAGACATTTTCATACAAATCTTTCTGACTGTATGATTACAGCAACTATCAGATCCTCAACAGAGATTATGAAGATCTGAAAAACCCAGTTTCTTAAGCAACTCAGAATCCAGACAACCTCTGCCTTTCTGTACTGGATTAACAAGCTGATTTCCAAAATCGGTAATATAATAAATGCAAAAAACTGCTAAGTCAATTGTTTAATAAAGAAATGAACAAAGCAAAATAGAAAAAGAACAGCTGAAAGTACCAACTATTAACCTGATGTTAGTGGTGAACATTACTTACCATTTCCACAGAGCAACTCGGTGTCATTACCTGTCCTACTCCAGCACACGTGGTTTCCATTAAGGGTATTGTATAAGCAAGCTACATTTCCACATACACAGCAGAGGAATAAAGAAAAGCAGCAATACTATTGGTTTCCAACCTCTTTCTTGGAAATTATGACATCCCAGGGAAAAAAATCAAACAAAAAAATACAAACCACAAACACAAAACAATAAATATTTAAATCCAGACACTCACTATATTTAGCATTTCAAGATTATCGGATTTTTTTTGTGCTTATACAGTCTTCCAGATAAATGGATACAGACACAAGAACACAGAGAGGGGAAGTCTCACTGTATTGCTGAAATTTTTCAAATAACTTGCCCTTTGAGATTTTGGCTCAAACAATGCGAAGTGCACATTATTACATGGTCTGATAAACTGTACGAGAAACATAGGATTAATTCAGTCAACTCTAATCACATTGCTGAAAAAAATCCCCAACCATATCCAAGTTCTATGACTAAAGGATAAAAATATGACTGATGTACCACTCCTATGTATAAAAATTTTACAAATTGCTAGACAAAACATATCACCATAATTTCTTCTTGCTACACACCAACATCATGGTTTCAAATAAATTAATACTAGCATACTTAGGAAAGTCTTTGCTTCCAGGTTAATCTGTCTTCTCATAAGGGCACATTGCATCATTAAGAATCTTGATCAAAGAATTACAAGTAGTTCAACAGTAACGAACTTGCTTCTCTGTTATGCCTATAGCTACACCATCATCTATATGAACTGACTTTTCTAGTGTCTATACCAACCTGTCAAAACAATTAGTCTCTCAAGACAGACAAACACTGTGATTAACATTTAGTTTCAGGATCATCAGGGAAGCATGGCCTAAATGAATATGGATACTGTATTATCCTTTCATTTAACTGGTAATATCTTCAGCTCAAAGGTACAGATGCAATTCAAATCTTCTCACAATAGCGTGTGGAAAATTAAACTGCTTAAAAAATCTGTTACAATTACCTGTAAATAAATTAAAAAGTTTTGTGTTAAATTATACATGAAAAATAAAGATATGAAAGACTAGTAGCTGCAAATGCATCATGGGTTTGTCATATTTTTTTGCCTATTCCACCATTCATCTCCAAGTGCTGGAAAAACTACTATACTATAATGTGCTGGTTTTAGCTGGGATAGATTTAATTTTCTTCACAGTGGTTGGTATGGGGCTGTGCCTCAGATTTGTGCTGAACACAGGGTTGACAATATAGAGATTATAATCAATGCAGATTACACAGAGGTGAGGCCCTTTCTGCTTTTTATACTGCCATGCTGGCAGAGGGACTGGAAGTGCATGGGAAGCTGTGAGGAGATGCAGCAGGGACAGCTGACCACAAAAAACCAAGGGGATATTCCAGACAATATGACATCGTGCTCAGTAAATAACATGGGGGGAAGAAGGAGAAAGAGACATTCGGAGTGATGATTGTCTTCCCAAGTCACCAATGTGCATGACGGGGTCCTGCTCTTCTGGACATGTCTGAACACCTGCTTGCCCATAGGAAGTAGTGAAAGAATTCCTTGTTTTGCTTACTTGTGTGCACGGCTTTTGCTTTCCCTATTAAACTGTCTTTACCCATGAGTCTTGCACCCTTTTACCCTCCCGATTCTCTCCCAAATCCTGCTGTTGGGGGAGTAAGCAAGAGGCTGCATGGCACTTGGTCGCTGGCTGGGGTTAAACCATGACATACGGGTATAATAAAACCTACATGTAGGATGAATAAAGCTTTGTGTACTATTTATTACAATAAAAATACGAAAAATCTCAAAGTATTCTATTCCTTAAATTGTTGTAATTAGGGTTAATATTTTTAAATGTTTCATAAGTAACTGAGTATGCATTTAACCTAAAGTCCAGTTGGTATCTCTAGTTAAGTGTTCTTTGCTCTCAATGTAAGGACAACAAAATGTACTATGATAGATCAGACCAGAAGAGATATCTTCAAGGTGTATTCAGCCTTACAATAGATTGCCCAATAAATTCACTTATAATATTCCAGAAAGAATTAAAGAAGATAAAAAAAAATCATATTCATTTGATGCAGAAACAATTGTTTCATTTTTGAGCTGATAAAAGAAAATAGTATGATGCTACATCAGGGAACATTCAGATTAGATATTAGCAAAAGGTTCTTCACTGAGAGGATGGTTGGTCACTGGGTTCCATCTGGAAGCTGTCATGTCACTAACCTTTCAGAGTTCACTGAGCACTGAGCTCCTAGTCATATGGTTTAGCAAGGAACAGGGAGTTGGACTCGATGATCCTTAAGCATCCCTTCAAATTTGAGATATTCTATAATCAAGCCTGTGCTGTAGACATTTCACAATCCTCCCTTTGGAACTAGGTATACCCCTTTTAGCTCATTTCAGATTGACTAGGCATAAATACAAAAATCCCAAAATAGCCAGAAGGAAAAAATGGAAGTGATGATGTAAACTGTGGTGCTTTAGGATACAAACATCACGTGTGGTTAAAGCTCAGTGCTACAATGGTCAAGAACTAAAAAAACCCAAACACCACCAATCACCCTACCCACCAAAAAATCATAAAAATAAAATAAATCAATGGTTATCTTCTATTTATATTTCATATGAAAGCTGATCTTCTGGACACTCCAGTACAGATATCTGTTCATTATGACAGTAAGCTACTACCTTGCTTTCCACAAAGACATGACCTTAAGAATTTGAAAGGATATGATGGAGTCTATAGTGGCCTCAGTTTCTGCACACTAAAAAAACTGCACCTAAACAAAACATACATATATAGTTTACCTAGAAAACAAAGGATGAAAGATTACATCTGAAAATAATGTCCTATATGGCACTGCAATGAACAAACTAATGCTATTCTCCCATGTTATCTGGCAATATTTGAAGACAGTAATGCACTTCAGTTGTGAAAAAAGATCTTCATGAATGGCAGAGAGATAAGAAACCTCTATTTTGATATCCCACTTCTACCACCAAATGTGCTATTAATTAATAATCCGTAGTTGTTATACTGTGACAAATCAAGCATGCACTTCTTTTTTTCCAAATACATCTCTAACCCACTGCTTCTGTTTCTGCTTAAATATTATAAAGAGAAATATTCAGACATTTGTCTAATGTCTTTAAAAACTCGGGTTTTTTTAAGATATTTTTGCCACAAATCAGCAGCATTATGTATATTTCAAAATTAAGAATTATTTTCAATTAATCACTATATTTACACCTCAGAAATTTTTATTTTTGCTGTACTCAGTTCCATGACAAAATTCTCTGCCAATCCATGCAGACATAATTTCACAATATGTCCCATCGTAGCTCTAAAAATTATCTACCTTAACTACTGATTTACTAAAGATTAACGTCCTATGATTTTGCATTTTGAAGACACAAAATTCATTATAGGAATGTCTTCACAACAAAAACACACAACAAATAACCCAAGAACAAAATACTTAAAAATTTTCTTAAATTATAAAAGTATAAAAATTCATTAGTTTAATAATTTGTATGCCATTATGTAAATTCATTACATTAATATCTATAGTAAAGAAGTCTGCTAAAGCCTCCAGTTTTATTTATTAACTAGCGCTTTAAGAACCTGTACACTGAGAATATGAAGCATGTAATGATGCTAAATATCCTAAAATAAATCCTAAAATACAGTGTTTAGAATAAAGCTGTGCAATAACCAACCATACAATAGTGACACTGCAAACCTATGCCTCAGTGATCCTATGTCATACAAGGTCAGTTAAGAATTAGAATTCCCCAGACTTCCCCTACTCCTACTAAGCTACTAATGGCACAAACATAAGTAGGGTTCTAAATAGTTGTCCTTTTTTATTTTTTCCCTCACTTGCTCGTTCCCAACAAGCTGTATGGATTTATCAGAGCATGACATACAGGACAGCCAGGCCACCTCACAGTGACTAAAATAAGCCGTTTGTAACAGACATGCAACACCATCATCATCACCAGATTTACACTGGGCTGAGACTTTAGAACAACCTTCTCACAAGCTACTTTTAAGATTGAGCTTTATCAGTTTATGGAGGAGATTAAGCTCTAGCTGCCAACAATAGCAGTGGATTGGACTTGATCATGTATCTTCTTAAGGATAACTGGATCTTAAAAATAAATTCAATGAAGCTTTATAGTCTTTTTATAAGAAAATAAATTACCATCTCTTCAGAAAAAAAATGAGTATATTTATATATATATAACCACTTTTACTATAGCTTAACAGATGCCTCCATTCAAATTCTGTGAAGAATACCTGCAACATTTAAGAAATGGGAAGTTAGATCTCTCCAATTGTGTCCTTGGCCAAAAAAGACAAAAAGAGCACACAGTATATTTACAGAGAAAAATTATAATCTTATTCATAAAACTACATCTAAACCAAAATACTTGTCTCTCTTTCACACTCATTACTTATATAAAATTTGAACATACTCAAGGCTGAAGTGCCTCAGTGTTTAACCTGCCAGGTAGCTAAACCCCAGAGTCACTTGCTGATTGTTTGGTCTGTCAGCAAACAGTTAACATGCCAAGAAACACATTGCATGTATTTTTTGTATCATGTTCATAGGATTTATTTATTTCTAGCTAAGTCATTCCATTCTAAGATATTCTTCAGATACATGTTAGATTACAGTAAATTTAGATTACAAGAGTGTAAATCCCTGTCTGAAATGATAATGAACACATTTTAAAATAAATATTTTTATAATAATATTGACTTTTTATACTATAGTTTGCTGATGTGGATGTTAAATATAAATTAAATAATAAATACTATTAAGTACATTTCTATGGCAGATATATGAAATACTATAAACACTTCCTCACATAACAAGAACTTTCCTAAGCAGAAAAAAATGTTAGCATCCGAAGCACAAACGAGACCACGGACAATATAAACTGAAAGTAGAAAAAAAAAGTAATGAAAAAAAGGAAAGAAATAATTCTTTCTAGCTGTGAAACTCGAGGAAATATTTACAATCATCTGTATTTATTAATGGATTTTGTGAGGTAAGAAAGGTTGAACAGTCAAAGTGGGGATGACATCCACCTGTATATCATCTTATCTTAATTTTCCTGATTTGGATAAGTGGCTAAAGCTGGATGTGGGCAAGAAAGAGTTGATTTCATTAGAAAAACAGATCAACTATTGAAAAGTTGTATCCAAGATAATGTTCTAAAACACAAGATTTTCTGCCTAGGAATTTTTACAGAGCAGTCAATTTAACAGTTTTGTTCAGACACTTCAGGGGCCACTTGTGCTCCAATAACCATAAAGGCAGAAAGAACCCTGAAAAAGCAGACACCACAACCATCTCCAAAATAAGAAACTCTTTAACTGCAACAAGATTGCACTCCATTCTCTGGAAAGGTGAATGGGATACAACTACGTGCATGTTCAGAGCCAGCAGTTCAGTACAAAAAGCATGCTGTAGGTTAGCAAAAAATGGTTACAGAGGTTTCACAACGCTAACCTCACTCCTGACAGTGGAAGCTTTAATCTTTCTTTCCTGGAACCTAAACCTATCTATGAAATTGATATCTGAGATATGACATATCCTCATTAATTCCATCATTATCAGTCCTCCATCACAGGTATTTTCAGACAACAGGTACCAACTTGAAAAGGAAGTTAGGAGAATGAAAATAGTGGCATTAAATAGTTCTCTTAGATCTCGATTTGCCTATGGTAAAAAATTTAAATACAATCAACCCTAGCATAAAAATCCCAAATGATTCTTTACCCAGATTGAAAAAGAGAATACAAAAGATCAAACCAAAGAGATTAGGGTTCAGACTATCCAATTAGGACATTTATGTCTCACTGAGAAAGAGGCTACAGAGCACATTGCCTAATGGTACAAGTAAATGTCAACAATTATATCTAAGACAGAAACAAAACAGATCTTAAAACATATAAACCAAAGGGATGGAATAAACTCTACACCTTCTGCCCCCAAAAGATTGTAAATAGAGATGGTTGGTTTCAAGAGACCATGAAATTGAGTACAAACTACACAACTGTAGCACATCAAGCAGAATGGAATCAGTCAAAAGGAGAGAAAAAGGAAAAAACCCATATAAAATCAGTCAAACACAGGATGTAATAAACTCAGGGAAAAGTATGAACCACCAATGGGATGTGGACAGAAGAAGAGATACACAATGTGTTAGGAAAGCTATTTTCAGCACAGAAGGAACTTTAACACTGTTGTACCAGGCATTCATCCACTACGTTTGGTTGACATATTCAAGAGAGATAAGTTTAAACATTTATATACAGGGCTTTGAAAAAGCCTGGTATGAAGACGTAATTACTAGAGATACAGAAGTGTTATTTAAATCAATTTATATCATACACGCTAAGCAGTGGGGTTCAAATTGGTCACATAGGCTGAAAGGTAGGTAAAGGTTCCTGAACCTGAGGCAAACTTATAGTCACTAGAAGCATTAAGAAAAAAACTTCATTAAGTAGGGGATAAGCAGTATGAATGTAATCAATACGAGACCTATAATATACAGCCCAAGAAAAAAAAAAGATGACATCAATCCTTTTCCACTGCAAGAACGGCTTCTGAGAGCCTCTCCCATCATTAAATAGGAAATTAGGCACTGGACAACAAACAAAAAGATTCATCACTGATGAAGATCTTAGAAATCACTACTTATCAACTTGTCTGCTTACACACAGCTTCCCACAGAAAACTGAACTAAATAGCCCAAGTGAAAAAATGTAACAAGGAGACTTATCAGAGACAAAGTGCAGTCAAGGTTATCACCATAAATTAAAACACCAATCAAGAAAGAATTGGATGAGGCATGTTTCTATACTTTAGGTTATCTTGAGAGTTAGTATAGATACTGTTAACACATAAAAAAAGTCAGCAAAATTGTACAGGCCTATACTGATAGCCAAATAAATCCCTCACAAAGCAGCAAAATCAAATTCTCCAGCCTATGCTAGAACAGGATAAGGACTAAATGGCCCCAATGGATTCAGCCAAGGTGTGCTTATAGGTTGCAAATGGGGAAAAGAATATTATACAAAGCTTCTGTCTTTCTCCAGTGCTCAGCTGCTACCATAGCCTAAGTAACACAATGTCACTGAATTGCCTATACCCTACAGGTGAATTCACAGTTCTTGTAGTCAGTTGCTGTAATTCAAATGTTATATTGATATTTACTTCTACAAGAAGTATATCTTTTGCTTTATAGAACAAATTATGTGAGTTACACAATATCATCACCAGCAAGTCCTGGTGATGATAGTTATCATCTTTCCCTAGTTATCATCTCCTATTACCACTGTTGGAAATAAAATACTGGTGCACTGAATTCAATGGACCATTAGTCAAACTTACCAAGGATTTTCCTATTTTGTTCTTGCTATATAGAAATTTTCCTCATAGCAGATGACCAAATGACAAATTTATCACTGTGTTATGGGTCCTTTAAATAGCCAGAGCTACTAAATGAGTCCAAGATTTGGTGTAACAGAATGCACAAAACATTGAAACATTGAGAGCTGGAAGAAGACTGTAGATACCTTGTCAGGGAGAATAATTATTAAGCGACCAAAAAATCAGTAAGTAAAACAATGGTGCTATGATATTTAAAAATTTTTGCATTATTGGTATTATTTCATGCATACTCCATATTACCTTTGCAAGTTCTTTAGATTAGCATGTCTCCATATGGGTTGCAACTATTTGCTAAAGATGATTACAGTCTTAAACTGAAGCTTTTGAGCAGTTCTGATATGCAAAACATAAATAATGGTAACACAAAGTTAATTAGACTGATTTGTGCAAGGCACTTATTCTCTTACAGAAGCCTTAAAACCTATCAGTAACCTATACAGTTGTGCCTATAATTAGGAAAGAAATGCCACAACCTAAGTGCATTTTCCCTGGTTTAGGACTACAAAGAGTTAAGAAGTGCAAAGGTTAGCACCTTGAACTTCGTTTTAAACAATGGAAAATATGTCTTCCCATGAATAACTTATGCAAAATAACTCTGTGTTAAAGTCTGCAGAACATATGATTGTTTACCATACGTGTTTATTATCAGAATTTTTCCCCTGAAATGCTCTTATGAATAGCAAGTAGCTGCAAATTGTCATGGCAAAATTTTTAAATGAGGCATAAACCCAGAAGCTGTACACTCCCAAAAAAACTTCTAGAATTAGTCAGAAAGAGACATAATGGACTTCCTAGCCCATAACGTTTTTGAAATACTAAGTGCATGGCCATCAGAAGGATACTCTTGCAACAAGTTTTGGGGCTCAAAAAGGACATTTCCAAGTATTTATGTTTTATATCATGCAGTGGTTAAGCCCATTATTAAGGACACTACGGTCTTTATTGATTCTAAAATCCAGGACTATGGTCTTTACTACAGCATTCCAACTAATTAAGGATCTCAGACTTTGATTTCATACCTGCCTTCTTTAAGCCTTCCAAAACAGTTTCTCAGATTATTGTATGACCACCTCTTTGTACAGCAACATCTCTTAAGGTATCAGAGGAATTTATTGAACAAAAAAAAAAATTATTTCTTCATTTGCAGAGTCTGCTCTCTCAAATTCGCTTTCATAAGCTTTGCGTGCTTAGCCTGTAGTTTGCTTTTGTATTTGAATGCTTTTTTTAATTCATTAAGCCTCATTTTGCTTCCCTCTCCCACACTTGTCCCAGCTACAAAAAGCATTTAGAGTACAAACAAGCCCGAAGCTCTCCCTCCCTACGGAGGGCGTTTGCCACAGTGCTTGCTTCTTCTAAAGATTGCTGCCTCCGCCTCTACTCGATTTTAAGTTCACGTCTGTACAGATACACATACGGCAGGAAAGTCCCCCAACCAGTGCAAAATCCCGACAATACCGACAGCCCGCTCCTGGATGCTTCAGACACTGCCCGAAGCCCCGGGAGCTCCGCGGCGCCGTTCCGTCTCCGGAGCGCAGGTGGGCGCAGGGCGGCGCGGCCCGGCAGCCCCGCAGCAGGCTGACGCTCCCGGCCCCGCCGCACCCCTCCCTCCCGCCCGCCCGGCACGGCCCGGCTGCCGAGCTCCTGCCACTCCCAAGGCGGCCGCCAGCCCTCACCTGCCCGCCCGCAGAGCCCACAGCGCGTCCGCCGCGGCGCCGGCGACTCCAGCCCCGTCTCCCGGGCAACCCGCGGGCCCGCCCCCGCCGCGCCATTGGAGCCACACGCCGGGAGCGCGTTACCGGGCAACGCGGTGGCGGCGCCGAGCCCCCAGCGCCGGCGGAGAGAAGGGGGACTCCCCGGGGCCGAACCCCAGCCCCGGCTCGCTCTTGTTAGGGTGGTCAGGCATTGGGACAGGCTGCCCAGGGAGGTGTTGCAGTCACCATCCCTGGAGGTGTTCAGGAGTCGTTTGAGATCTGGCGCTGGGTGATAGGGATTAGTGGATTAGGGGTTACAGTGGTAGTGCTGGCTTCACATCTGGACTGGATAGAATCAGCTGAATCATAGAATCAGCTGGGTTGGAAGGGACCTCCGAGATCATCAAGTCCAACCCTTGATCCACTCTGGGTGCATTCCTCCCAATGCAGGTTTACTGCTACAATCCACTACCGCTGCGGTTACTAGACCATGGCGCTAAGTGCCACATCCAGTCTCTTTTTAAAAATCTTCAGGGACAGAGAATCCACTACTTCCCCGGGCAGCCCATTCCAATGTCTGATCACCCTCTCTGTAAAGAAATTCTTTGTAATATCTAATCTAAACCTCTCCTGGCACAACTTGAGACCATGCCCTCTTGTCTTACTCATAGCTGCCTGGGAGAAGAGACCAACCCCCACCTGGCTACAACCTCCTTTCAGGAAGTTGTAGAGAGTGATGAGGTCTCCCCTGAGCCTCCTCTTCTCCAGGCTGAACAGCCCCAGCTCCCTCAGCCTCTCCTCATAGGACTTGTGCTTGAGTCCCTTTACCAGCCTTGTTGCCCTCCTCTGGACCTGCTCCAGGACTTCAATATCCTTCCTGAATTTAGGGGCCCAGAACTGGACACAGCACTCCAGGTGTGGCCTCCCCAGTGCTGAGTACAGTGGAAGAATCACTTCCTTGGACCTGCTGGCCACGCTGTTCCTGATACAGGCCAGGATGCCATTGGCCTTCTTGGCCACCTGGGCGCACTGCTGGCTCATGTTCAGCTTCCTGTCAACCCAAACTCTCAGGTCCCTCTCTGTCTGGCTGCTCTCCAGCCACTCTGTCCCCAGCCTGTAGCACTGCATGGGGTTGTTGTGGCCAAAGTGCAGGACCTGGCACTTGGCCTTGTTGAACCTCATCCCGTTGGAATCAGACCATCTCTCCAGGTCCCTCTGAAGAGCCCTCCTGCCTTCCAGCAGATCAACACGCCCCCCCAGCTTGGTGTCATCTGCAAATTTGTAACAATTGCATATTCAGCTCATGTATGTACCCCATTTATTTATCATCCTAGATTTTTGATCTCCAAAACATGCCACCACACTAAGTGGTGTTTTAAAGTCAGCATCTGCATTTGTTACTTTTAAAACATCCATCTGGAAATCCATTTGCTCCCTTTTTAACGATAGATAGCAGATAGTAGTTTTCTATTCAATTGCTCTCTGTCGTTCATGCTTTCCTCGCTCTTTTCAGTCAACTCTTTTACCAGTTGAAGAGATCTAGCCTATTTTGACTCTTAGAGAAGTTCTAACCTATAAATGCAAACAACCATCCTTGTTGCTTTTATATTTTCTTGTTTTATTTCATTCTTTTGAGATGAGATGACTGGAATTGCCGAAAGTTATTCCTAGAAAAGTGTTGGTCTGTGGGTCATAGGACCAGTTCATAGGATCATAAGACAGTAGAAGAGGGTAATTCGGATTAGAAAGACTTTCTGAGGCAATCTAGTCAAACCTCCTTTTTAAAGCAGGGTGAGCTATGAGGTCAGGCCAGAAATCCCATGGTTTTATCTTGGCAGTCCTCCACTGAACTTACTCCACTTTGTTGATGCCTTTCTTGTATTGGGGGCCCAGAACTGGAAGCAGTATTACAGATATGGTCTAAGAAGTGCTTAGTAGAGAGAAAAAAAAGTTAAATATGTACAACAGAAAACTGTTTTAATGCTTTCACATCCTAATAATAGAAACCTTTTCCTTTAATAGAATTAATCACATTCAAGAGCATAAAGTAATTTTCTCTGGATTATGAGATTATATGTAGCACTGCAGTCTCTGTTATGTGGTGTTTTATTTTAGTTAGTATAAAAAGTAAGGGAGTTTTTACTATTAGGAGTCTTCATTAATCTAGGCATACTAATAAGTCCTTTATGCAAGCTGTTTAGCTCTACCACACTACTAAAAACAAATCCTACTTCTTCTCTGTGACTTTCAGCTCAAGAAATAAGAGTGTCTAGGTGAAATGTAGTAGTTTATTGTCATCCATGTCCACCATACACAGTCTTATCTACAGCATTAGTTGTAGTTACTAGAGCCCTAGGTTCTTACAGAATTTTTCATGTTCTTTTTCAGTCAGTGAAAGCTAAGCTGAAGTTTATTCAGCTATTGTTTCCTACTCTTACCAGAGCTCTGTATTTTTTCCCTCACTCATGTTATTAAAGGAGGATACATTTATCCCAACTATGAATAATACAATAAAACAAATAGAAATAGAATTTTAAATGGATTGACAATGCAGTTTCAATTTCCATCATACTTATAATTTTGGTAACTTTCATTTTATTCCTATGATATGACTGACCTCTGGTGGGAGTCAGCAAATATTATTTTAATTTCTCACTAAGAATGTTGCAGGTTTTTCCACTAGTGATCCTATTAGCTTGCTGCTTGCCTTTCTACCTCGTGTTAACTGTCAAATTATATCTAGGAAATGATTTCATGGGGGACTCAGGCTGGTGTTTATTTTTCTTCATTCTTTCTAAGAAGTGCTTACTGAAAGGTGTCAAAAGAAGAAATTACTTGAAAGAAGCTTCGTTCATTCTAGTTAGTTCATGCTGTTGTTTTATTAGGTGCATAATGTTTTATTAGTAACATTTAATAAACTATTCAAAGTGGGGAACTGCTATCCTGGCAGTGCTGTTGATGTTTGTTGGTAGCTACAGCATTAGGATTGCCTAGAATTTATTTTGGGAAATGGAATATCTATCACGTTGTTACGACCCGCCCCAGGAAAAGGGGAGGGGAGGTAACTCAGGTTTTTATCAATAATTCAGGGGAGGCAAGGTTATGCTTGGATATACTTGAAATAGAGAGAAAAGGTCTGTTTTAAGGCACTGTCACTATGATAGAATTTACTGAAACATCAAACACAGTGTTAGAAAAGTAGAGCAGAACTACTGTGGTAGATAAATGCACTGTACCATTTTGACTTAAAAGATGTTGGAAAGAAAATAAATTTTTGAGCTCTAATTAATGAACTCTACTTTTGACAACTGCTATGCTGGCTCAGATTTATATTGATCTAGCTAAATATCTCCGGTGGTTTCACTCTTTTGATCTGTCATGTAGTTTTTTATATCTTAACTAGAGCGGAGCAAAGAAAAGGCAAAATTTGATCAGCACTTTTTTGACACAAGTTAGTTACTGTATATATGTGCTAAATTTCTTATCTTTTGAATGGTTTCAGTTGTATATAAGCATATTATAGGCTGGTGTTTGGCAAACTTAGAGGAATTTCTAATAGGTTGACTTTGAGCATTATATAGTTATATTAATTTCCTTTATATAGTCATTATAAGTTTTGGGGGTTTTTAGGTGCAATGCTAAACTACTGAAAAATGTCATTCTAAATTACTTAAGTAAAAGGCAAGAGAGAAATACACAATGACATTTCAGACTGACAAATTAATCATCAGTGTTAAAGATCATCTTTTAACTTCCTGATACATGTTATAAAAATCTGAAACCTTCAAAAGTGTAGGAAACCTAGCTTCCTTCTTTTATGTAAAGATCTTGCAAGAGAAGAAAGAACACGTCTGCTTCTAGACTTCTATGGTTTTACAACAAAATATTTCTTTCATCTGAAATATTTTATTTAAATAAGGAAAAGAAAGTATCAATCATAGAACTTACGTATCCTGTCTCTCCCTGATCAGATCCACAAATTCAGTCTTACTCATCCATTGGTACAAGTTAAAATGACAGTACATGTATTACTGAGGATAGACTGATTTTTAAAAATATTTCGTCTGAAATATTGATTGAAATTAATTGGCATCAGATTGATTATTTCTTGGGTTTAATATTATACCGAGAATATATATTCCTTTCAGTCTGCATTTTTCTTCATTCATAAAGTGTGAGTTTTCATTTTACTCCTTTTGAGCTGCTTATTTCTACTGCACTTTGTAACTTCAGCATCTGTATGTATTTCACTCTTGAGTAATAATTTCTAATACTTATAACTTCAAGTAATATTACATTGCCTGGAAGGGTGACCAAATTAGAAAATAAAACATAAACAATTTATTTGAATGACTTGGAAAACCAAATGTCAGAGAGATGTGAACATTTCAAAATATACAGCTAGTTTCAACATAAAATGGAAGGTGGAAGGGAAAGAATTGCAATGGTTTGCTACTAACTTTCTCTCTTAACTGGAAAAAGTAGAAATAATCTTTGTCCTTCTTGCCCCTGAGAGAGATGCAGATGTGATTGTCCCAGCTATAGGCCTGTGGGTATTCACTCTGGCCTAACCCCTTTTGGAAATATATGTAAGCAAAAGAGAACATTTGTGCAATTACTAAGTGATAGTTAATCACTTAACAGTAAATTTAATACACTTTTATTATCTTTGAAAAGTATACTATTTGATAATAATGTAATAATTTATTAAAATTATGAGTATGCTAAAATTTCAAATGCTGGCATATATCAATGTTTCCAAGACAGCAGTTGATAATGTATAACTGTTGTAGTTAAAAACTTTGTAGCATTAAGAATTTGTCTGGGGGCCAAAAAATTTGGGTTTTTTTTTCAGCTTTCATACTGTCTTCTGTCAAGAGGGTTAATAGAAGTGATCTTGGCCAATGAATTCTCATCAGATGCCTTATCAACTAAATACCCCATTTGTATAAAAAATAATTTTCTAATAATATTTTGCACTGACAAAAGCAAGTGCTGAAATGCATGGAATTGAACACCTCTGACAGGAAAACAGCCCACTGTGGTGGTGCATACTCC